TGAATTTTGAGGAAAAATCGCCAAAAGTCGCATATCTAAATATGGTGTTATGAGTCTCGTACAATGAAATCCTACAAATTGTTTTTGGATTCACAGTGCATATGTCTATGCCCAACATCTCCAATCAATTTAGGACCAGAATATGCATTTTCAAAAATTGCCATTTTTGGCCCAGTGGGAGGTGATTTTCCGGTCAGGGCTGAAAGGGTTAAAAGAACAGGCCAGACCAGGTGCATGTCGAGAATAATATAGACATCGGAGTTGTGTGTTTTAGCGGATGGTTCTGTAGACCAGGTAAGCAATGGTGAAGTGTGCACCAAGTGTCTTCAATCCGGTAGGATGAAACGGATTTTACGAGCTTGTACACCTCTATTTTGTTTTTGTTTCTTAAATCAGCAAATCAACCAAACTACCCCAAAAGTCTCTTGAAAACACCCCGTTTTACCCATAAAATGTATAGATTACATCTCTATGACATTGTGTACGGGGTTCATTCTCCCTGGACCCGAAGCAGTGTGTGCTGCTACATTGTTGTATATGGTCAGGAAAGAACCCTGCACACACCATCCTCCAATCAAGTGGTCTATTCGCTGCAAAGTACTAATGTCTCAATAAATTTTCGGCCAGAGGTCTTCATCAGGACCGTCATGAAAGACAACACCACTGTACTCGTATCCATGTATGGCATAGTGCAGGGTCACTTAACTCATCACCTCCTCGGCTTCCGGTACATTGCACATTATGGCATCACAGACATGTAGGGCATAGTGTATTGCACTGTATCTCTTAAACCGTCAAATCCTTTTTCTTTTTTTTTCTTTCTTTTTTTTTTATACTATGTGCCCACCCTCCTATATATAGGATTTGCTGGTGACAGTTTAAGAGATACATCACCATGCAATGGGTTTCACATCAGGCATATTCCGGCTGAAAGCACTCACCTTGTCGTCGATGCGGAAGCTGCTCAGCGTATTCCCGGCGGTGATGGAGTACGTTATGTTCTTGTTGGCCGGCAGCAAGTCAGTGTCCACAGCCATTACGGTGACGTTTGTACCAGTAGCGACCGGCGAGTTCTCCAGAACTGTACCCGTGTACGTTTGAGCTACGAAAGCCGGAGCTATTTCATTGATGTCGGTGACCGTGATGTCCACACTTGTCTGGAGAGAGAGAGAGTGGGGGGGGGGGGGGGCGGTCAAGAGAAATGAAGTTGAAAGCAGCTACGAGTACGACATGTCCAGTAATGAAACACTCCAAATTTGAGTAAACATATCCGGTTCAGCGTACAGTTTAGGCATAGCGGTATGTACCAAAGGGAGTGAATAAGTACATGTGCCTATCCACCTCCTCTCTCCTTTGTGAAGTGACCAATTTCACAGGAAAAAAAACCACTGGCTAGCAAATGCATGTACACGTATTTGCAGTTACACCCCATTTGAGCCATTGGACCGTAGTAGTAGTAGTAGTATTAGTAGCCGTCCGGTTTCCATAGATACCAGACATGTTGCTAATTGTTGTACTTCTACATCATTTGTGTAATGAGCCCAACAATGGAAGCACATATTATTTAGTTAGTGTCAGCAAACTGCTTTGCACAATGACATGTTCCAAGCACACTTTTCTTAGATCGTTGACTCAAGTATAATTGGCTGGCCTACCGTTGAGGAGAGGCCCAGTCCATCCCGGTCGGTAGCTTTGATTGTGAGCGTGTACCAGGAATCCATTTCGGCATTGAGTCGCGATGCCACCGTGATCACACCCGTTACGGCGTTGACAGCGAAATCATCTTAGCATTCAAGAGAGAAAGGATAAATTCATACAGAGTGATCGGAATTGAGCCGTGATCCTACCAAACACGCTACAGTAAAATCTATGACTAACGACCACCCCTTGGGGCCAGAGAATGCGGTCTTTAGTGACAGGTGGTCCTTAGTTAGAGGTTTGGACCGCACCACCATGTACGAATGTAAAACCGGCCGTGCCTGGTGAAGTAGTCTGTAGTATCAGGCTGGTCGCCAGTCATGGTGGTCTTTAGTTACAGGTTTTTTTCTGTATACGATTCACAAAAACGTTCCTCCCCCTCTTCTGGTTCAAAGCAGCTCTGCCCTTGACCATGCAGCACTCCATTGGACAGCTTGGAACTTTTCGGTGATACAATGCAATTATTTTGATCGGACCCAATCTCTCTCGCTCACTCTCTTTAAAATGAGGGCTAAACCGTTAGCTTAAGTAATGGAGCATCGTTGGTCTATACTAAAAGTTCCTGACTCGAGATCTAGTGGTGGCTGCCAATTGTTCCCTTCAGACTATTCTCTCTAGATCACAAATATCGGAAATTTCAAAGGGGGTATTTAAACTACAGACAACTGTGACCACGATTCTACTACTCAGACGTGTTGGATCGACTTCGTACACTTGTCAATTGAAACATGACTGAATCACCATGGAAGTTCACGTTCAGACGTGACTTTGGCCGTAGTCTGGATAGCCTACAAAGCGGTTGGGTGTAACGTATTTGAAGATTTGACACGTTTCATCATGCATGTTAGTATGACATCACTATGGATGCGCTCACCAGTTGTACTGGAGCTTGGCCTAAGTACACTGGAGATAGAGTAGCGGATCTGAGCGTTGAGCCCCACGTCACGATCGCTAGCGCTGACGGTCGTCACGGTGCTGGTGACCGCTGTACTCTCGGGCAGTTTGGCACTCGGGGAACTGGCGCCAAACGAGGGCTGGTTGTCGTTGGCGTCGGTGATCGTCACGGTAACCTAGAGTGCAAAACGTTGGTGGACAAGCCATTGGTTAGCTAGTATAAAAAGGACTCCATTTTAACCCAGAGTGCATTGGAAACAATGGAAAGGATACTAAACATAATAATTATTGGAGTTGTTACAATGTTCTGAATGGAGGTGATGCTTTCTTCCTAAAACCTTCGCCAGCACCAGTACTGTAGGAACATTGTATCACATAACCCCTTGGAACACATACAGTCAACTTCGCGCATAACGACACTAGGTGGGGCATCAGAAAAGTGTCCATCTTCTCAAAGTGTCGTTATACCCGAAGTCTCACTATATGTATTACAGTTGGATGGGACTTTGCTCTGGGCATGGGAATTCTGTCGTTATATTCGCGGATTGTTGTTATATCCGCAGTCGTTATTAACAAAGTTGACTGTACCAACTCTCTTCACCTTTCATCAGCCCAAAACATCATAATACCTCTCTGCCTTACTTACCGTGGTGGTAGCGGTCATAACGAGCGGGTCTGTTCCCTTGGTGTTGTTCCGGTCGTAGGCGGTCACCGTCAGGGTCATCACACCCGTACCGTCGCTGTTCAGTGTGAGTCCGGCTGCTTCACGGTCCAGTGTGCCCATGACTGTGATCAGACCCTGCAGAGAAGCCGAAAGAGAGATCCTTTTTTGGTATCTCAATCCAAATTTGGGTTCCAGTTTTCAAACCGTTCTAGGCAGAATCGGGATTTAAAATTTGGCCTGCTGGTGCCCCTAGATTTTATGACAATACTGAGCTGAATATTAGATATTCTCAAATTTGGAACCTGTTGGGTTTTGTATCTCAGCTCTTCAAGTGTAAAGTCTATAACTGTCCACAGACCAAGCTTGGTATTCTAACGGTCCCCGTACGAGTGCCAGAATTAGCTACCTTAACCCTTTACCGTTTTAGGTATTTGTACAGCAAAAACCGACCGTCACTGTTCATGCCGTAACTTTTTTATTTTTCACTTTTATTATGTACAAAATGGGGTGATTCTGAAAGTAAAAACCCTCAGGAATGCGATGCAACAACTTTCAAGTCCAGAAAACGAACACCGATTTCACTATTTAGCACTAATAATTATTTGGATTTATTGCCGATCGGGCAAACTGTTGCAATATGCAATAAATCAGATCCTTGCACTGGACTGGCTCCCTCAGGTAAGTGGATACCAGGTTCGTTCTCTGGGTGGAATGCAGGAGTGTTACCAGTCACAGCGGTGTCAGCATTGTCCCAAGTATTGCAAATATCGACTAGTGCAGGTTGCACCGCTGGCTATACATAGTACCTGTACAACACGACCTCTACCGTGACGACGGCCTATTCCAAGGCCGAATCCTCTCTCTCTGCCACGTCCCCTTCCACCATTAGTGGCACTCATCTCAGCGACACTGTCGTCGTCTGTGACATCCATGGCACTCTTACTGGCGCTGCTTTCACTCGCCATGTCATCGTCGCGGTCGTTGTCAGAATAAATATTTTCAACAGGATTGTCTGGCTCGACAAACTCATATTCGCTGGATGAGGCAGCGACAGAGTCGTCAGGAAGGGTCTCCAGAAGCGAAAGAGCTTGCTCCGCGTCCATGGCTTGCACAGCAGGGCAGACAGTCGTGAGGCCAGCTCAAGCAAAGTCGAAATAATCTGCAGGCAATACCAAAAGTCGCAGGGTACGCACTTTTCCCCAAGCGCATTTTTCAAGTCGCGATTTTCGCGATTTTTTATATTGCATCACACAAAAAAATTGTCGGCACCCTCTGCGCGTACATCTTGGCTACCAGTAGGGAAAATCCCAGCTCTCTGCGGTGAACCAGTCCAGCGCTGTGCGCATAGAAGTCATCGACCGCGAGCGGTCGAAATTTGTACGTACAAACGGTAAAGGGTTAACTGCTATGGCAAAAGACAAAAACGTGATTGTTGTCACCCTATGCGAGAATGAGATTTTTTTTTAAAACAGTTATTTTTTGCTATATTTGCCCCGCTTAGGATAAAGCCCTCGCATTGAGCGCGTATCATTTACTGTTTCCCACTATCTTACTCACCGTGATGGGATTGATGGTGAAGTTACCAAGAGTGTTGCCAGCCGTGATCGCGTAAGCAACCGTGCCGTTCAAGCCTTCGTCGGGATCATTAGCGGACACGGTCGTGATCACTGCATTGCGGCTTGCATTGCTTTCCTCCAAGCGGTCGGAGTATGACGAACTAAGAAACTTGGGCGGATTGTCGTTGATGTCCAGTATTGTTACTTGCACTGTTGCCGTGTCCTGAGTAAAAAAGGGAGACCCAAGCACTACACTTTAAAAAAATGCTTCCATATCACTCTCACCTAGTCTCAGTCAGGCAAACACACAAACACTATGTGGTAAACTCTTCATTACCATCGCTACTATTTCAGCACGCAGCTAAACTTTCACATCTCATTGTCCTATCCCAGTGCCTGTAATTCTTTTTCTCTTGTTGATCACAGGCCTACGTGAGAATAAAAGATTTCAAACACTCTGGGCCAAGCAGCTATATGTACTGGTCCATACCCGAATATTCAATATGCATGTAGAAAATACTACACAATATAAACAACCGCTTTCCACACACAGACACACACATTATTCAGAGAGACACACGCACATACACACACACACACGTGTATGCATGGACACATACGCACACATGTGCACAAATGTACGCACAGTCTGTCTCTCTCAAGTGCACACACACATACACCCATCATCGATGCACATGCACACACACACACACACCCAAACACACAAGCCTACACACCACAACAACCACCATCACCACCACCATCACCACCTTCCTTCGCACCGTTCACAGTCATAACACCAAGACAAAAGAAAGTGACACAACACAGAGCCTCATTTATATAAAAAAAAAACTGTGGATGCACTTGACGAGACTTTACATACTAGTTGCAATCCCTGTCCTCACCGTGTATCTGGGGGTCGTTGCAGCCGTACCATCCTCGACCTGAATGTTCAGCGTGTATGCTGGCACCTTTTCGCGATCGAAGGAAGTGCTACCTGTTTCCAACACACCGTCGGCTGTCATTCTGAACAGGCCGGGGCTAGGCGGGGATACAGACACTGGAGAACAAGAACAGGAAGGGTGGGATGCGGATCAAGTACATGTGGTAGACAATGTATGCTAACACATCATCCCTCCATCGGTTGCAGAAGGGTTGAATTGAGCAGTTTTACCGGAAAAATAGATACCATAGTGTCTTGTATAGAAACTAGTTTTTTCTAAATTTGCCTATTTTGAATGCAAGCCTACTTTTCAAGATGCACTGCTGGCACCCGAGCCTGGTTTTAAACAGCGATACCTAGTTTGAATGCAAGCTTAGCCCTGACATCGGCTCCTCCCGGAATAAGGCCGGCTTTTATACGCGACACAACAGAAGACACATCCATGCTTGGTATATCGGCTAACAGCCTCCTCTGCACCGTGCTGGTCAGTGAAGTTGGATCGCATGAGTCAAGTACGTGCTAAGCGCTGTGCAGCACTAGCCCTGCAAACATAGTGCTGCACAACGGTGCAGGGTGAAAACTTGACTCTCGCTATCTTGCTCGCTCCATTAGCATGGTACATCATCAGCATTGGAAGTGGATAGCCAACAGTATAGGGCGATATAAACAAAGGCTCCAACACAACAGCTACAGAAGTTGCAGGGACAGTGGAAAAAACAATAATGCCGACGGCATAAACAGTAGCGAACAAAGCAGCTCTCTTATTCTCCATTGGACAATGTGACAATAAAGGACTGTAGCAACCACAGCACCCCTCAATAAGCTTCAAAACAACGGCCCAAACACTTGAGCATACACTGCTCACCCCATCATGTAAATACACAGAAGCTGAACTCACCAATGGTGAATGTCCTGAAAGCGTTTGTTCCAATGTCCTTGTCCGTCGACGATACTTGCAGGATAGATATCGCTCCAGGAGCATCCTTCAGGGCAGACACAACGTAACGCAATACCCTGCCATCGTCAAGGTTCAGCGACACTGCAAGTCTACGGACTTTCAGCGCGTTCAAATCTCAACCCTTATTAAGGTTAATATACATTTGGTGGCATTACAATTGAGCCTGCACCATCCCTGCGTACATGTTTACTCTGGCACATGGTTTTATGCAAACAAATAAATTGTTTTCAGCCAGTTCATGACCTGTTATGCACGTCTGGCATCACAGTGTATGCAGCTGAAATGGATTTGCTTAGCGAAACCAACCGGCAGAAGGATTGTGCATAGCTCCGATGGGAGATACATTCAACTTTGCGTATACATTCGTCCCTGTCTAATCCAGCACTTTATAATCCAGCACACTCGATAAACCAGCACAATTTTCAGTAGCCAAAATGTTCTCTTCATGCACATTCTAGCGGAAAATCAGATTTGTTAATCCAGCACCCTCCCTAATCCAGCAGATTTTCCGAGGGAGCACTGTAACAGCACTTGGCAGTGCATCAGAAAAGTGTCCTTATTCGCGAAGTCTTTTGTATGTATTACAGTTGGATGGAACTTTGCTCTGGGCATGGAAATTCTGTCGTTATTCGCGAATTGTCGTTATATCCGCAGTCGTTATTAGCAAAGTTGACTGTACGCTACAGAAAAGCAAGCAGTCCGCTCACCTCTCCGATGCTGACAGGGTACGATTTCTGCGAGAAGACGGGTGGATTGTCGTTGATGTCGAGCAGGGTAACGGTGACCGTCGTGGTGTTCTGCAGATGCGCCGAGCCGAGATCCGTTGCTGTGACCGTGAGTGTGTACGCCGGGTCGGCGGGCGTGGCTTCCCGGTCCAGCATGCCCGTGCCTCTTGTGGTGATCTTGCCGTTGGTGGGGTCCTTGATTTGGAAGAAGCCTGCATCACCACTGGTGATATTGTAGTAGATCTGTGCATGGGGGGGGGGAGAAGTGTAGCACAGAACACGGATGTTAACACACTGTTTGCGGATGTATGGCCTGAGCACAGATGTATGAATTTCTATACAGTCTCACTATCGTATGTCTCAAGACAGTTTGAATAATGGTAATGAAACAGTCACACGGGCTCCAGTGCTCAAACATACACACACACACACACAAACACACACACACATGCACACACACACACAAACAAACGCACACACACACCCATACACACATTGCTCGTGAACCTACCTGTGCATTAATGCCCAGATCCTTATCCGTAGCTTTGACGGTAGCGACTGATAACTCAGCAGTTTGATTCTCCAGGACTGCACCGGAATAGGAACTGAACTGGAACACTGGGTGTTGATCATCAACATCCAGAACTTGAATATCAATCTGCAAACAGACAGAGAAGGAAATAGAGTGTGTGGGGGGGGGCGTGGTGTATGTGTGTGTGTGTGTGTGTGTGTGTGTGTGTGTGTGTGTGTGTGTGTGTGTGTGTGTGTGTGTGTGTGTGTGTGTGTGTGTGTGTGTGGATGTGTGTGTGTGTGTGTGTGTGAGAGAGAGAGAGAGAGAGACCACCAAATATACAATTCACCAAATTAATATACCGTAAATTATTAGGATTATATCTACCTACCTACCTACCTATGTACCAACAAGGAAACAGAAGGAAAATGAAAGGAGGAAAGTCAAGATTGGCAACAACTTTGTGGACAACAATGCATAAACACCTTTGGTCTGTTTTTTCTTTAGTACCACTCCAAGACTTCATCTTGTATGTTAGGATCGAACCAATTGTTAGCTCCCGGCTAAAAAAAAGTCCCCTCACACCAGAACACAGGGGTTTATAGTATTGAATATGGAAGTATTTCGACAAGAGTGTAGACGAGAATGAGAAGGAGAACAGGACAATGACAACTCAAGACTAGTCATTCACTGGAGCATGCGCTCTTCTGTACGTGGGTGGCTCTCATTGCCAAGGGGAACGAGCGGGAAATACGAATAGTGAGTGTGTTCAGGTAGTAGCATAAATACACCTATTACACAATCACCTACAGGCTACACTATAGTGTAAACGTTGCATTGCAGGAGCAGCCAATTTCAGTCAAACCAGGGCTAGACTGATTGTTATGCATGAGGAGTGCATCGAACGAGAGGTGTATCGAACGAGAAGTGCATCGAAAGAGAAGTGCATCGAATGAGAAGTGTATCGAATGAGAAGTGCATCGAAAGAGAAGTTCATCTAAGGAAACCGTTACCTGTGCTGTTGCAGTCAGCTTGATCTTCGGAGACTCGTCGTTGGCCGTCACAGTCAGCTGGTACTTGTCTTGCGTTTCACGATCGAGTGCTTTGAGGAGAACCAGCTTGCCCTGGAGTGACATTGACAACAATGCAAAATGAACTTGTTGGATCACAAGATGAGAGACGTAAAATAATACCTCCCCTACGTGGAAGGGGTGGTTGGCTTAGAGCAGTTGTAAGCTTGTATTTAATGCAACCAAAGGCAAAAATTTAGATATAATATATACATCTGTGTCTTTCCCTCAAACTTATCAAGATATAATTACCCAATGCTGTAGACAGCAAGCTGTTTCGGCCATAACGGCCTCATCAGTACAGCTACGAGCTAAATAGGCCGAGCTACCAGCCATGGTGCAAAGGAGGCACCACAGACATTAAGGTAGCTCGTCCCTCTAGCGCCAGAGTGCTCAAACTACAAAATGTAGCGGGCATTGCGCGATGCAGCAGCACTAGAGCAGCCTACTGAGAGTGCTCAACAAGGCGAAAGCCTTGATATAATTATAATCAAGATATAATTATAATTATGTATATATATTTACCACAATTGCTGTGTAAGACTGTGGTGGTGAAGAAGGAGATCAAGACATGATCAATTGGCTACAGTGGAGCCTCCGCAAGATTGAAGCATGGCAAGCAATATGCCAGAAACACTAGCATGTTCATGACTCAACCTTTTGCAACAGTCTGCCATGTATGGCATTTCAGTACCATTACCGAACAAATGGCCGCTTTTGCCACTCATTGTCCTCAATACAAGAAAGTTGTGAAGTAAATCCGTATAACCTCACATTGGTCTCGTCCAGCTGGAATAGATCACCGCGTCCAGTGGCCAGATTGTACTTGATTTTTCCATTGTTGCCCTCGTCTGTGTCGTTAGCAAACACCTCTAGGAAATTGGTACCAGGCGCTGCTGACTCCTTGACATCAACACTGTACACCTGCGTAGAACAAAACATATGGAACATCAATAAACAAGATTAGCGTATCATAAGGATTACTTTTGCAGCATTTTAATTGTGCATTCTGCTGCATAGCAGACAGTTCGAAAATTTACTTTGTGGAAATGTTCGAAAAGTGTGCTATCGTCTATGGATACGGAGGAAATCAACTTGGTCGCTCCCCTATCCCCAAATCACCCCCTACTTTTCAGCCAAGGATACGGATGGGGCTGAACTTGGAAACTAAGGAACATGAATACAGTCAGACCTCGCTTATCCCGTCCTCTTTTATCCGGATCCCTCGCCATCCGGAAAAAAACGTTGGTTACTGATTTACAGCATAATGGAATGCATACATACAGTATGTGTGTTCGATTATCCAGTGCCCTCGCCTATCCGGATATTTTTGTGGAAAAAGGATGGCATCTAAAACTCACGGACTGAGGATAAAACTTTGGCCGGTGGGTATTCTGGTTCAGGACGGTGATCGTAACGGCAGTGGTGGCGTTCCACTTGCCGTCCGTAACCCGTACATTGACGGTGTGCGTCTTGACCGTCTCGAACGTGGGCAGAGTCGTCTTGGTGGTGATCACACCCGAGCTGGGGTTGAGGAGGAAATAGCTGCTCGGCGTGGCTAGCAAGTAGGTCAGCGTTGTGCTGTCCACATCGGATGCATCAACCTACGGGCAGCGACAGTAAGAACATAGTTAGGAACGGGACACACACCGTGCAAACGAAGCAATATGAAACACATAAGCAAGATGCATGTTCGATCCACAGCACTTGGGTGCATGGAAATTCGTCCGGGCAATACAGGATTCCATTCGGTGCAGGACGCACCCAAGTTTTACTCTACTGGCATGCTTACCTGAACAACAGTGCGGCCTACACCCGCATCTTCCTCGATCGTGGGACTATACGGGGCATTGAGGAAGTTTGGCTGGTTGTCGTTAATGTCCAGGACGGATATTTGCACGGTGCATGTAGCCGACATAGTGGTGGCACCACTGTCCGTTGCCTTCACTGTCAGGGTAAAGCTTCTTGGTGACGGCAGTTCGTAGTCCAGCTTCTTGTCGGTTCGCGAGGATATGACACCGGACGTCGAGTTGATGCTGAAATACGACGTGTCCCCGCCGCTGAATGAGTACGTGATTACGGCGTTGGAGCCCATGTCTCCGTCCATAGCGGTTACCGTGACGATCGGGACTGGCACGGAGCTGTTTTCGAACACCTGCCGAACAAAACCAACCAAAGAAAACAAACAACCATGACTGAAATGTGAAACACGTTTAATCACCAGACCTCAGGCAATGCTAAAGGTAGGCAATCCGAAATCAACCTAGGGCTGATTTGAACCATGAGCCACATTCACATACCTGCTGGCAGCACTCTATACTACTGTACAGTATAACACCCCTAATCGGTACTCCCTAGATCAGGGCATTCCTGTCTGCCATGCACTTTTCAAACCCCTCTCAAGTCACCAAGGCTGGCTTTTCAACAACAAACGGTGCCAAGATAATAATTGATTGGCAAGAAAATGGTCATCACAGGTTTGGTACACCAACCAACAAACACACACAAACGCACACGCGCGCACACACGCACGCATGCACACACACACACACACACACACACACACACACACACACACACACGCACACACACACACGCACACACACACGCACACACACACACACACTCACACGCACACGCACAACCACGCACACACCCAGACACGCACGCGCACACGCATGCACGCACGCACACAACTGCGCAACTGCTTCCAACTGTTGACTTACATTCGGCGTATAGACAGACGGAGTAAACACCGGAGGCAAGTCGTTAGCATCCGTCACAGTAATATCCAGCACAGTGGTGTTTGACTTAGGTGGTGACCCCTGATCCGAAACGGTGATGTGAAGCTGATACGACTTCTTAGACTCGTAATCCAGAGTTTGAGCTAGGTTGATGGATTGCCCTGTAGCGCTGGGCACCAGGTTAAACTTTCCTTCGCTATTTGTCATGGAGTACACCAGCTGAGAGTTGGGAGTGCCGGGTGCATCGGCGTCGGTGGCGCTGAAGCGGAAGACCTCCGTTCCCGTGGTGATGTCCTCGGGGAAGGACCTGGCCGGGAAGACTTTGGGCACGAAGACGGGCGCGTTGTCGTTCTCGTCGAGAATCGTCACGACGACCGTGGCATTGTTGCTCATGGTCGGCGTGCCGGAGTCGCGTGCGTGCACCGTCAGCGTGTACGCGCTCTGCATCTCGTAGTTGAACGGCTTGCGTGTGGTAATCTCGCCGGTCGTGTGATCGATGTCAAAGTCGCCGGCATTGGCACCGATCAGCGAAAAGACAATTTTGTTGTTGAGAGGAGGAGCATCGGCATCCGTAGCCATCACCTGTCGGCAACAACACAAGAGACTCAACCGTTAGCAGCGCAGATACAGTAAACCACCTGTCAAGGCGACCACTCGGATAAGGTGATCACCTGCCCCAGGAGACCACTGTAACCAGGACCAAGGGATGCTATTTCCAGTCAAATGACCCTGGATCAGGAGACCATCTGGCAACAGAGACCACACTTTGAAGGTCCCTTGAGCGGTCGCCTTACACAGGTTTAACTGTAGGTATTTTAGAAATTCAAAGTCAGTAGCCCACTGTCGTATCTCTCATCACGCCCATCACCTGGGCCTTGTACTCCCCGACTCAGTGCCCTCATAACCACCAACTGGCCCTCATCATCACCGATCAGACCTCAGAATCCAAAACTGACCGTAATGATCATCACCCGAGCATTGCAATCACCAAGCGGGTCTCACAATCACAAACTGACAGGCCTCAAACGCAAATCATTGTCCCCATGAGCAAAATTATTACTATTATGCACACACCCAGCTACACAGATAGACTCAAATATTGGAAAAGTATTTGACTTACCGTTGTCAGCGTTTGTCCAGCGGCCTTGTTCTCAGCCACGCTGGCCGTGTAGGTCTTTGGCGAGAACTCCGGTGCGTTGTCGTTCACGTCCTTGATGGTGATGTTGACATGGGCTGTAGCAACCCGCGGCGAGGCACCACCTGCAAGAATGGCGACGACAGAAGACAAAAACAAAAATTTCCAGTGATTCATCTCCTAATGAGTCCTTTCCTGGTGGTGCAATCATAGGGTGGCTGCAGGCACACATGTACTCGGTTTTGAATATAATCAGAGTCCAGTATCTTACGGGGAACAAAGTGCACACAGCCAGGTCCAATAAGCCCATTGTGCATTGCCAAATATGGAATGCATGAGTAATGCATGTGAGTACACTGGGATCAGCAATGCACATTTCAACACCCCAGACAACCATGCCCAGGTGGCTGTGTGGGGTGTTCGCAGTACCTATTATGTCATTGAGCAATGGGTTCACTAATACAACAAGAGAAGCCGGAATCAGGGGCTTCACAGGTTCTCCTCTCGAGACCAACACAGTGTGCAATGAATGCTGAAAATGAATAGTATTGCAATGCTTACGATCTTTGGCTTGTATCGTCAAGGAGTATTTTGCCAAGGTCTCTCTATCCAGACTCTGTATCTGACTCATCATGCCACCGACTGGGTCGATTTTCCATGCGGTTGCAATGTTGCCGGAGTTCTTATCCGGAAAGCTGAATTCTAGCTGGCCGTTTGTACCACTGTCACGGTCTGTAGCGTTGATCTGATCCACACAAAGAAAGAAAACGAGATAAAGACACATATCAGCACAGAAATAAACAACTCGAGGTACAGTGCTCAATGCACGAATGTACAGAGCAGTGTACACACACAACAGAGGCGAAAGGCTGTGTTAGCTGTAACTTAAAATTTCACGCATTTCAGCCATCATCAGACAGCAGGATTTGCTCCACAGGCATACATATACTTCCTCCGTATACAAAAACTTCGTGACTTTTTTTAACGGTGTTTTTGAGCAAGAATCTGCTCAACAAACAGCGCCAAAGGCTGTCATCGACAACCCACGTCAATGTCGAGGTTAGTTTTGTTGATCCCGAACAGATTCTCCACGGACGCCCTTCGTGTGAGGACGTTGCCGACAGAAACTCAAGAGTCAAATTTAAAAAAACTAACACTTTCTTGCTCGAAACTGACACAGTGACGAAGTGTAGCTCGTGGCCGGCTGGAACACGGAGTCACGCGGCACTCGCTGCCCTGAAACTGGCCAGGTTCGTACTTGCAGTGCGCGGCCCCATAGATCTACGCAGCGTGAGAACATAGATTTGTTTCGCTCGCACGGCAAGATGAAACATTTCAGTCGTCGTGCAACCAGCGCAGACTCAGGATCAGAATGTCGATGGCCTGGCTTTCTTCGCCTCTCTCCAGTCAGACGTATCCTTTGTCGCCAAGGGGGATCGCAGGGACCTCTTCGAAGCCATTGTAGAATGCTTGAAAGGATTATCCTGGCAAGAAAATGCGAAGCGTGTGGATGTGCTTGTACGACTCGTTTCACGGCATAATGGAGGTCGCGGGTTGGAACGACTGAATATAGTCGACACCGATTCGTACACAGGTCTAGAGATGAAGAGGACGTAGCCAAAGTCCAGCGTCGGATCATCCCTGCAGGTGACAAGAATCTGAACGAAATGCGTGCGGAAGCAGCGACTGTTGACGATGCGGAGTCCGCGTCGTCAAGAGACAATGACATGAGCGACAAAGACTCTGAAAAAACTCAATCTCATTCGTCTGAGTTGCTTTTTTTCTTTGTATATAGCGTGTAAACAGGTTAGACAATGCCACGAGTGTTATTCCGAGTCAAACGGATCAATTCCAGAGCTGTGCGCAGCTTTCAAATAAAAGTCACGAAGTTTTTGTATACGGAGGAAGTACGGTCTATCAGCGGGCTACATTATACTAATGACATGCGTAGGTGTGTGTGTGTGTGTGTGTGCGTGCGTGCGTGCGTGCGTGCGCGCGCGTGCGTGCGTGCGTGCGTGCGTGCGTGCGTGTGTGACGATTATGGTCACACACGTCTTTCCGTCTTCTCTTTCTCAGACTCCTCTTGACTTTTCTTTCATTCTCCTGGGTGGTTACCAACAGCCAGTGCATGCCGGAGTATGTGGTGTGATGTGGGTGCTTGAAAAAAAAAAAAAAGTAGGGATTCACCAGCCAGAAAAAGCCACTTCATAGCTGTATGGTGTAGACCAGGCTGAAGAGTGGCGGTCAATTCTCCAGCCTTGCAAGCTGTTCAATGGTGCAATCCCAGCACAAGCTGCTATGGCCTCTGCTGTAGCATCGCTATCATCGCCTCCGGCGATGTGCGTCCAATGGTCCAATGGTGTGTGTATGCGTGCGCGTGCGTGTGCGCGTGCGCGTGCGTGTGCGCGTGCGCGTGCGTGTGTGTGTGTGTGTAATGCGTATTGTTTTGGTGAGCTCCAGAAGACGCGCCCTCGCCACGGGCCACGCAAGCGCTGGCGTGACAACATCTTGATTGACCTAGAGGAATGCCACATCAATGACTGGTACAGCCTAGCCGAGGACCGCTGTGCATAGAGACTGGCCTGGAACACCATCCAGCCGCCTAAACCTGTGTTTCGGGATTTCAGGTGCCACTGCGGCCGAGATTTTCGCCGTCGCCAGGATCTCACTCGCCACTCTAAGTTCTGTTCTGCGTGACTGAAACACGGTCGGGATTTTTTTAAGGACCTGCCATCATCTCCAGATGGACATTATTGTATTGAATTGTATTGTGTGTGTTATGGCTTGTACACGCACAACGAGCAGGTCAACATGCGTGCATGCTCACAAGCAAGCCTACATGGCCTTTCCCTCATGGAGCATCTCCGTTAGTGCAGCCTACCATACATACTCTACCTAGACAACTTTCCGTGAGTGGAGGGCAAACTCGCGAATTCACGGGTTTTCCTGCCCACTCACGGAAAGTTGCTCAATTTACGGAGGGTGGAAATTCTCTGATAAGGCTGGCCATCATCTAAGTAAATCAAACAGTCACTAATTTTGAACAGGGATGCACATGGTAATTTATTTTAGTTATACCATGTAAAAGACGAGAAGGAAAACATGTTACGAGTTATGACTAACTGTCCACCAGCGTAACCAGATCATATATACATGTACAGTCAGCGAATGCGGCGAAATGGCGTAGTTTGTCATAACTCCTTTTTTACCATAATTACATTGGCTCACCATCCGAGTTCAACATAATACCATGTAGTAGAATCTTTCCTATCTTACCATTACGTTGAGGTTGGTAGGGACTGGGGAGTTCTCTAGAATACTAGTTTCATAGAAAGTCGGATCAAACTTGGGTGGATTGTCATTGACGTCATCCACTGTGACAACAACCTGTGACACACACACACACACACACACACACACACACACACGCACACACAAACACAAACACACAAACATACATTCAATAGCACACATAATTATTTGCAACATAGAAATGTGCGACCCCTGCTAATTCTGTAAGAGATCCGAAAGCCCACCCTCTGATAAAGAAGACAAAAAGGTTTTTCTGGACAAAACACATCTTCAGAACTCTAAGGAGCCCACCGGAATTATCGATAATTTTCGGGAAACGAAAAAGTTTAGTTATGACCCTCCCCAAACCCATGAATGAAAAATAATTATATTGATTTCACAGCTCGAATGGACCGATTTTTCAGCTATCAATATTTTTTCCCAACGAAACTCTCCTCAACCCACCCACCCATGAACAAAACTGTTTTCTCTTCGTGAAAAAGATCGATAATTATGGATGGCCCCTAACGGCGTTGCAGCGTACTCTTCATACTTTAGAAAAACGGATAAGCTTCATCCAAAGATTGAATCTCAAGATAGACTTCCACCTCAGGAGAGACATAAATCACAAGATGGACCGGCCTCCATCTTACGGTAGGCATCCATCTCAAGACACTGTAAGTATACAAAATTCCGGCAGCTATTTCATTTCAGCTACATTCGGCATCGACCCCAAACCCCGAAATTAAAACGCTGGTGACATGTTTTCATATAGCTATTTAATTTCAGCTACATTCGGCATCGACCCAAAACGCCGAAAATAGAATGCTGATGACATTATTCACATTGGCCTTGGTGCTGTACTAGTATTAGCCTCGTGCTGAAAATACATAACTGCTGAAAATATCGAAAATCATGAAACGAATTTTTACAGTGTCCGATTTTCTGTGTATTCCCAGTGGACGTATATCTCAAGTGCATTCTCTACTCGCAATAACTCACCGTAGTGGTGCTGTTCATGCGCGGAGTACCACCATCCTGAGCTTGAATGGTCAGCGTGTAGGAACCCACCATTTCATGATCAAGCAGCTTCTTGGTTTGCAGCTCGCCAGTGACAGAGTTGACCTTGAACACATCTGAAAAACATGAAGCAATAACAGGAAAAGGCAACGTGGAGTCGATAATCCGTAAATCGTCAGATGGCAATGGAAAAGATGATACTATTGCTCAAGATAATATGCACAGCTGCCCAATACGCTAGCGCTCATCTCCAAAGACAGAAGAAAGGGTTTGCCTCCAGAACGTCTTCTTGTCATGTTCTCCAATGGAATCTCGTGACTGAAAGAGATTATGGGAACTATAGTAAGATAATTATAATACACTTGAGCAATGACAGGAAAATTAAATCCCGTTCGCACCTGGTGCCATCTATTTCTCAATCACGGTCTTAGATCATCCCACTATGCCTGTCTGCCCGTCTGCCCGTCTGCCTGTCGCGCATAAAAGCCGGGCATAAATCTGTGCAAGCCGATATCAGGGCTGGGCTTCTATTCAAATCAGGCTTCTATTCAAACCAAGTATTTCTATGTATGTCAACACTAAAACAAGGCTTATGTACAGATGGTGCATCTTGAAAATCCAGACCAAGGCATGTATGAGATGATACAAGACACTACAGTGTACGGTGATTTGACCTTGTAGATGCTGACAATACAACTTACCATCAGCGCCGGCAATGATGCTGAAGGTGATCTTGTTGTTGTTGTTCAGGGATGTGTCAGCATCGGTGGCCGAGACCGTCAAGATCACTGTGTCGATGGGAGAGCTCTGTGAGTGTCATGTACACACACACACACACACACACACACACACACGCGCGCACACACACAAACACACACACACACACACACACCAATCCCAGCCACAAAGTCTCAAAATACACCACACGTCTCCGTTCACACGGTATGCATCACGCTGCTCTGCAAACTGAGCTATTAGTACAATTGTGGCAAAAGAAATCCTATCACTGAGCTGAAAATACTCATGCTGCCCCTATGGCCCTCGGATGGGCTTTTGGACTGTGAGTGTTGTAATCGAAACGTAAGTACTTTTGAGTCGTGGGTCGGATTTGATTGGTAATGACCATGCAATAAAAAGGAACTGGTGATTGCAATGAGCAGTAGGGCACTTAAGCAGTCTTGTGGAGCAAACATTCTCACAAGAGCTGAATTTTCGTATTGGTATCCCAAGATGCACCGAATGGAATCCAAGTTGTGGAGAATGAAACTGGCTTCTTACCTCTGGCAGACCCTTGCTGTAGGTGAGAGGTTTGAAGATCGGTGCGTTGTCGTTTATGTCCGTGATTCTGATCTCAATCATCGTTGTTCTGCGTGAACAAGAAGAAGCCATGGTGACAATTAGAACATGACGATGTACAGTGTCAAGCAATGTGGATTTGCTGGCAAACACAGACACACACACACACACACACACACACACACACACACACACACACACACATACACATGCACGCACATGCACATCCATATGCACAAAACGCTGAACCCCCAACTTCCCACCGACTGTGTGAAATCACAGTGTGACTTGAGTGTTGTCCAGTATTGTCATCTACCCAATGTTGTTACACAAAATACAATAAACGCATATTCAATTAAACTCATACGTCCTGACAACACTCTCCGAGCAATACCGTTTGGAGAGTGTTGTCAGAACGTATGGTTATAATGGATGGCTACAGTGGATTCAGCGCATGTTGAGACAAGTTTTCGTAATTTCGTTGAAAACCCCAGCCCCTTACCCAGTCATTCGTTTAGCCGGAGGTGCGGCCAAGTCATGCGCACCGACTTCCAGGCTGTACACACGCTGTGACGTCATCTCGTAATCCGACTCGGTCAGGACGAGAATGGTTCCATTGGACATACTGAATGCGCCCTGTACAACAACAGCACAATACACACAACAATCATGTACAGTCCACTAAAGCATGATCAATATCAACTCAACCAATCCAACTCCAAAACCGTTCTCTTCAATGCAGGTATTTTATATTTCACCCTGGCGATGGGCTAAGCCCGCAAATCCGGTGAAATGTAAAGATGTCCTCAATGATAAGACTATTATTGGAGTTGGTGAATTGAAGAGTTACACGTGTAAATGGCTGCATTGGAGTTTACTGCCATTAGAAAAGCAACATCAGTCTGCCAATCAGCAACGGGCAAAAATTACTATTATTCAAATATTGGGTAGTACGCTCCTCGGCATTCGTTTTGCTGAGCACTCTAGGCTAGGCTAGGTAGGCTGCTCTAGTGCTGCTGCATTATTCTGCAAACAAGTAGATTTTCCTTTTTTCAGCGATTCCTTGCGTGAAACTTTGACGGCTAGCATATTTGTACCGGTAAAAATTGTTCCACATGAAACAAAGTAAGTTGGGTATGCGACAAGACCAGCGTGGACTGATATGTACATGATTTTTTAAACTGCTAATGGTCAGGGGTGTCGTACAAAAAAACCCATCGCCGGCTGACAATGGATTGCGCCAGGATGGCTTACCGCGGGGCTGGCAGCCTTGATGAAGTACTGCACCTCGCCGAACGTTCCCGAATCCGCGTCCGACGCCGCTACTGTGTAGACAGCCGTGGAACGCGGCGTGTCTTCTGGGATGCTCACAATCTGGGTGGCTGTGAGGCAATGCCATGGGAAGAGGATTCAAAGTCAATAAATTCCATGAGAACATAAGTTTACAGTAACAGGGGAACAGGAAGATAAAATACACATTAACATCCCTCACCAACTGAAGCAATTTGGGTAACACATGGTCGCCAGGGACGTGAATGGAGAGAGATAACAAGTTTAACAACACACATGAAAATCCCTTACCAACTGATGGAATTTGGGTAACACATGGTCTCCAGGGACGTGAATGGAGATAGATAACAAGTTTAACAACACATATGAACATCACTTACCAACTGAAGGTGTCGTGAACTTCGGTGCATTATCGTTGACGTCCTTTACCGTGATACGCACGATGCTGCTGTTTTTGCTGCAGGGTGTCCCATCGCTCACAAGCGCCTGTCACACAACAGCGTGTATTTTGACACACAACAATGTATATCTTGACAAACAGGATTCAAACTCTAAGAAAACAAACGTTCAACATTAACATCTCAGGCAGGCTCATAGTGAAACCGACTGGGGTGAAGAATTCCTAGAAATATTCAGTCAAGATTTTTGGGTGAAAGTGATGGCACAAAGTACACTTCATCAAGGAGACATTTTGATGGTCTGATCTCCGCTTCCTCTATTCACTATGCTCAAGGGGTTTTCCCTACTTCAGAGGCAGATGCCAATTCACATGATCCGTTTACACACACGTTGTGCACACACGATTTTCGGTTGTATGAAACCAAACTAACAAACGAAGCAAAGAAGCACCTGGAAATATCGACGACAACACATACATGCGCACGCACACGCACACACACACACACACACACACACACACACACACACACACACACAGTGACACACACACACACACACACACACACACACACACATACACACACAGTGACACACACAAACACACATACACACACATACACACACACACCCTTTGGACCTTTGGACCTTTGGAAAGCCCATCGCCGAAGGCGATGATAGCTACACACACACCCACGCACACACACACACACACACACACACACACACACACACACACACACACACACACACACACACACATACACACGTACACACACACACACACACACACATACACACACACACACACAAACAAAGCGCAGCTTACCGTTGTCATGAAGCTTCTTTGCAGCGGATTTTCGTAGTCAAGAAGGGAGAATGTGCTCAGCTGCCCGGTGGTACCTCCCATGAAGAAATACGTTGCAAACTGGTTAGTCAGTGTGGCGTCTGGTATCGAGTACGTTAGAGAGGCACCGACGTCCAAGTCGATACCAACCACGGTCAGAACCGGCGTCAAGACGGGAACGTCCTCAAACACGGACATGCTGTACTCGTGTTGTGCAAAGTGTGGGCAGTGGTCGTTAACGTTCTGCAGTCAAAACAACGCCCAGATGGAAAAAAAGTTAATACAAAGACAGAACCCTGACGCAAATAACCCTTAGGTGCCGGTAGGTCGATTTCGACCTATGCTGACAGTGCACACTAAAATCGAGCCCAGAGCCAGTCTCGTACATCGCAGGTGCCTGATTTTTTGTACAGAGACCCTTCAGTAGCTGGCCTGTAGATAGCAATAGAGAAAGTAGGGGGTCGGGGGGTTGCATTTGAAAAAGTCGAGTCGTGATCAACGACGTTCGCGCAGATCAGCTGAAGTCAATCGAGCGTGGCAGCCTACGCACGCGTCCCGCAACATGAACAAAACGTTGCTGTTTCGCTTCGTTTTCGACTAGTAAAGTTCATGGCTACTACAGCTGACCTCCGTCATGGATGCTGCAGGAACGCTTGAGTTGTTTGAAGAGCTGGAGGCCGATGATGCCCCTGTAGAAGGAGAATCAGAAGACGACGATGGTGAAAAATCTGACGCTCTTTTATCTGCCGGAAACCTGCCGTCATCAGATGAGGAAGACCGACTCAACGATGATTTGGTTTTCGGTGAATTTCTTGAGAACGGCAGCTCTTCAGATGAGGACAAAATTTCTCACGATGAGCTTCAAGAAGCTGTAGGGCGAGGGCAAGCAGCGCAGCCAGTTCGTGGACGTGCTCCGCTCGCGCTGCGCGGAGGAATTGCTCGCGGCGCTGGTCGAGCTCAGCCAGCTGATGGAACAGCTGATCGTGGCGTGCGTGGCGCGTGTGGCGGAGGCCGTGGCGCAGGCCGTGGACGAGGTAGCGGATTCGGCGTGCTGAGTGGTGTTGGCGACCAAGATGTTCTTGGACCAGCGCAGAACCCTGACCCTATTGTAAATTTTTCCGACTTGAAAATTCAAAAATCGGACTTTGCTGTGTATTGCCATTCAGAATACATACTTTTGTTGCTACATCATCTAAACGGTTGCGGAGTTATAGGCTTTCCAAAAAATTGAGCCAAAACTACGAAAAATCTAAAATTCAGTCAGGCACCAAAGGGATAAAACAAGAGGTTATCCATGGCTAACAGCCCTCCCTTAGACACAAGCATGCACAAATGCATGTATGTACACAAACACACACACACACACACACACACACACACACACACTCACCATTTGACCATTTGACGCCCATCGCCGGAGGCGATGATAGCGATGCTACAGCAGAAGCCACTTGTGCTGGAATTGCACCATTCAACAGCTTGCAAGGCTGAAGGATTGACCACCACTATTCAGCCTGGTCTACACCACACAGCTTCGCGTGCACGCACCCACTCACACAGAGACAAACTACATCCATCAACCTTACCTGAACGATGACGGTCATTGAAGCCTCTGTGGTTGTTCTCAGGCTCACGTTGTTCGTGTTGTACGCCACAGCCTTGAGCACAAAGATGCGGTGACCAGCTTCATAGTCCAGAGTCTTGGCCAGCTGAACCAGGCCGGTGGTGCTGTCGATGACGAACTGTCCATTGTAGGAGGCGTTGACACCGCTAAACTCAAACATTACTGCTATGGCCGTGGCAATAGTATCCCCATCATTTGTCTGAAACGGAAGGCGAGGAAACATTGAGAAGAAAATGTATTATTGTTCTAGAGCAGAATGCAGAGGGTCTCCAAGTGAAATGTTAGAAAGTGAAAACACACAGCAACCAAATCACTAGGAGGGTGTTGTATCACCCGCGAGCTGGGTACAGACAGAAAATTCTGTGACAAAGCCTTATTAAAATAGAAGAAGTCACATGGAAACGAGTTTTAAAGAAGCAACTATACACGACTGTAACAAGATAATAGGCAGTCAAAAAGTGCGATAACAGGGCACAAAACTGACAGGCTACTGAGACATTCAATGACATGGGACCTAGCTCTAACACATGTGATATCTTCTATTTTAATTATATTTACTGCCTAGGTATCTAATTAAACAAAGCCAAATGGTCACTTTAACTGGTTGTGGACTTGCATGCAATGTGAAGTTCAAATCTCTCTCAGAGTAGTTGGACACTGAGCAGTCTCTGCGGCTCGGGGATCAACCGATTTGTGTCAGGGTAGTTTGATGTATTCTGAGCATGTCAAGGGCAAAGGCTCCTGCTAGGCTCCAAGACCAGTTGGACCGCATGTAAGGAAAACTACACATACCAAAGTAGTCTAGGTAGCTATGCCAAGTTGGCTTAGTCAGCATGATATTCCAAATCTCAAGGACATGGGTTATCATGCAGCCAGAAGTTGGGTGCAATTGCTGAGCTTTTCAAATCAGCAAGAATTTCAAAGCTCACAGTGCAACAAGGTAGGTTTAGAATGACATTCATTGATTGGTTGTTGGGGAAATAACGGGTGGAGGGAGACCGAGAGAAGACGGACTCCAGTACTGTCGGGCGCTGAAAAACGGAGCACTGAATTTCACCAATGGCACAGCATACCAATGTATACACGGTGACTCAACCGTGCATAGACTGTAATACATGAAAATAAGAACGGTCTAGGCTAGGAGGCTGACCCCCCAGTTCTTCGGCGGCCAAGAGTACTGCAAATGATGAGCACCGAGAAAGACAGCGAGCAACCAAACGCCGGCGAGAGAAACTAAGAATGCATTTCAAGACTAGTTGGCAAGCTAGGGGACGTTCAGTTCTTCTCTAAGAGTATCTTACCGACAACTGTGCAATGGTTGTTCCTACAATGGCACTCTCTAGCAACGTCTGGCTATACTTGTTTACAGCAAACACGGGCGGGTTGTCATTCTCATCAGTCACCTGCAGTTGCAAGAATAGACCCAATGCATGCACACATCATGGCGCACACATGTGCATGTGCACACACACACACACACACACACACACACACACACACACACACACACACACACACACACACACACACACACACACACACACACACATGTGAAAATGCATTAGCCATGTACTGCCAGTTGCAATGATATCTACCTCAAACAGCAACATTGTGTTGAGACATAGGTGGTTGTATCAGGCACAAACCCAAACTCCAAATTCACCAGTCAACTCGCAAGCCTTGGACATCCATCCATTTAAGCATATCGCATGTGCGGCTACTGCAAATAGCGGCATGGACTTGAGTCAAGATTATGAAGAGCTGAGATGCAAAAACCCGATTAGTGCCAAATTTGGAAAAATCTGATTTTCAGCCGAGTGTAACCAAAAGGTCTGGGGGCACCAGCAGACAACATTTCACATTCAAATTCTGGCTAGAAACCTTTCAAAACTGAAACCCAGATATAGATACAAACCGCACATGAAATGAATCCGTTTTTTACTAATTATCAGAAAAATTATAAAATGGATTTAGCGGGTTATGCACTGGACGTCTTCACATATCACCACAATAATTACCACCTGAATGAATAGGTTGCCTCACCGAAATGGTAAGTGTCGTGCTGTTGGTACGTGGGCTGGTTGGCGACTGATCACTTGCGGTGACCTGCAGTGTATACTGGTGAGTGATCACTGCCGGGTCTTCATAGTCCAACCACGCTGTAGTGTTTAGTGTACCCAACACCGGATCAATGAAGAACCTATCGGGCAATAGTGCAGAGAGAGAGAGAGAGGATCAGGCCGCAGAAGCGTACTAGAAAGTAATGCTGTGCTCACTACATTGCACACCACGAGGGCAGGCAACATCAGGTAGAGACTTACTCGAGAGTAACAGGCGGTGTAGGACCGCCGTTGGAGATGCTCTGGCGGGGAGGGGGGAGGAGTCCGGAGTGTCCCGGGGAAATTTTTGAAATTAGGGTGCAAAATCCCGCATTCTGGGCATTTTTGGCATTGTGCTAAAAAAAAAGCCGGACTGGCCGGACCGGCTGCTACGCCCCTGAGTAAAGCAATGCAGACTCCAATACTTGATACACCACTGTAGTACACCGCACAATTACATGATTGCTTTGGTATTGGAAACACTCTTTTCCTTGCTGTCAGCACCAAGAAATTTACTTACCGGACTGTAAGCCACTACCTTATATGTCGCACCTCCACTCTCAGGTTTGAGCCAGATTGTATTTCATAATATATTCACACTGTTGTGAATTCCAGCAGAAATCCAAGAGAGCTCGATACCGGGAAGGTAGAGCCGTGACACACTAGTCAGAACAACAGATGGCCTGATCAGTCACAACTTAAAGTTTCATGCCATCTCAGGCACTCATCAGGTGATCTCAGGCACTCATCAGGTATCACCTGATGAGTGCCTGAAATGGCATGAAACTTTAAGTTGTGACTGATCAGACCATCTGTTGTTCTGTCTAGTGTGTAATAATATATTCACATACATGTAGGTAGGATGTCAAAGTCGAAACCCCTTCTTTTCCCAAGAAGCGTGAACAGGCCCGACTTATATATTGTATTTGGGAAAATACGGCAGTGAGACGGGTCTGCACCCAGCCTGAATGCGTACACTGGCTACAGCAGAAACGCCGTTATTACCTGTCGGCAAAGATGCCGGAGATTGAGTAGCGGACTTCTCCGTTCAGACCCGAATCCAGATCTGTTGCCTGTTGTCATGGTTACACATGGACAAACATCAAAAGACACATTTCAAACAAAGAACTTGATGGGGAAGATTTATTTGTTTCAAGGGCAACAGGATAGGAAGTACATATTGATATCAAACCTCAGTTAGTTTTCTGTTAAAAAAAAATAATCGTAAAAATGACAACGTATGCAAAGATAGCATACGATTCCCGTGTGGAAAAGATTACAGGTTGGCAGAATCACTCAGGTGTCCTAAAAACTATTTTCGCACCGTTTTTCAAACACCTGTTTTGCAAAATTCTTGAATGGCTAGCACCGGTACACAGAGAGCAAAGCTGCCAGTCTGACCTTGATGGCTGGTCCCAGCGTGGTGCCAGGTGGCAGGTTCTCCGAGAGCTGCCGCTGGAACGGTATCGGCCCTACAAACTGCGGTGAGTTGTCGTTGGCATCCAGGACGTTCACCACCAGCATTGCGGTGCCATTCTGTACACAGGAGATGTATTCACACAACAGCACATGGGCTGATGGGCATATTGCGACAGAATGCACAGGCTGGGGCCAATGAGGCATTGACACAGGAGATACACACACACACACACACACACACACACACACACACACACACACACACACACACACACACACACACACACACACACCACACCACACAGGGGTTGATAGCCATATTTGCACAGAATGAACTTGCATGCACCATGAGGCATTGACAAGGGAGACAACATATACCACACAGGGGTTGATAGGTGTATTCGCACAGAATGAACTTTCACCATGAGGTATTGACACAATAGATACACACCACACAGGGGTACATAGAAGGAGCTTGCACGGGTCAATAGGCTTTGATACAGGAGATCTACACACACCACACAGGCGCGCACAGAAGGAGCTTGCATGCATCATAAGGCATTGACACAAGAGATCCACACACACACCACACAGGGGTTGATAGGCGTATTTGCACAGAATGAACTTGCATGCAACATGACGCATTGACACAAGAGGTACACATTACAGGGGCCAATAGGCGTATATGCGCAAGTGTGATGGCCACTAACACCTGGTACAACTCCAACCCAAGACATTAAAACAAAAAAATTCTTCCAACTAAAGGCCTCGAAGACGGCGATCTGATAATGAAAGGATCAAGACGTCAAAACACGAAAAGATATGCCGGCATTGACAAAAAAAATATTTGGGCAGTCGCAGAATCCAGAAATACCTTGCTCGGGACGCCATGGTCCGTGGCCATCAGACCCAGCGAGTACTGCTTCTGCTGCTCGTAGTCAAGTGACCTTAGTGTAGTTATAGCGCCTCTGCATACATCATACATCATACATCATACATCATACAGCACACATAACACATCATTACAGCATTGCAGCCAGAACACCAGGAAGCGCAAACCTATGTGACTGCTATCAATTTTATCTTGAGCAACTAACAGCGGGCAGACTATGCGTGGCACAACAATAGTGCCGCCAAGTAGTCTCTTTAGCAACTAACAGCAGGCAGACTGTATGTGGCACAACAATAGTGCCACCAATTAGTCTCTTTAGCAACTAACAGCAGGCAGACTGTGTGTGGCAGCACAATAGTGCCACCGAGTAGTCAGGGCATACGTACGTGGATGAGATGGCAAATGCTGATGTTGGTGGCTGGAAGGTGTACGAGATCTGGCCATTGGCATTGTCATCCGCATCCTTAGCCTGCAATCATAGAAGGAAATGTAAGGGACATTGTTAAGTCCAAAGCCCCCGGTTGCAAACCTGGTAAAGGACTTGGCTGTTGTAAATGGTTGCCGCCAATTAGCAGGAATGTGTCTGGGATAATTGATCAAAAAAGCCTCCAGTTGAATGACATGGTCATGGCCAATGCAACTTCTTCACAGCAAAGATGGAATACAGTTCCTGTATAGACCGTCACCACAAACCAATGATAATGACTTCAAACTTCAGGAGCAAACTCAAACGTTCTACGTCATGCCAAATTGCAAATCTTCGCCAAGCCATACCTCGACAGTGATCAACGGAGACACTGCAGGAGCATTCTCAGTGATTGAGACGCTGTAGTTAGCTTGATCCCATTTCGGTGCATTGTCGTTCAAGTCTTCAATTCCAATGTTGACAATAGCTGTGTCAGTCCTGCAGAAGGTGTGGAACAGAAAATGAGCAATTCTACATTGAGAAACCGTAATGTGTGGTGTTGAAATCTAGATAAATTTGCACAGGCACGCACACATGCATACAGAACACAAGCATGCACTAGCGTGCACACACACGCATGCACACTTACAAGCACACACACACACACACGCGCAAGCAGGGGCATCACCGGACCCCTTCACAGGGCGGGGGGGGGGGGTGGGGGGGGGGGGGTGCACAGGAATTTTGTACAGGAAAAATTTTGCACAGGATAACACGAAAAAGTTCGTTGATAGTACGGTGGATTAGCAAGACGAAATTCGCGTTCGCCTTCGCAAACATTTTTCAGTTCGCGAACTGGATTGCGAACTTTCGCATTTTTCGTTCGGATAAGTAGTCGGAACACGAATCGCGGATTCGTGTCAGGGCAGTCATAAATTTACCACGCTGTACTGTATGTACACAATGTCTGTCGTGTCAACATCATGCGCATGTGCGAATTCTGTTTGCTAATCCTTCCCATAACGCGAATTCCGTCACTGAGTTCGACTTTCCTTGGAGAGCGAACGTGAACGAGAATTTTGTCTTGCTAATCCTCCGTAGGGAGCTGGACAGACGCTTTCCTTTTTCGAGAAGGCGACATCTTGAGAGGAAACAGCTCCAAAGACTCTTCAAGTGTGGTGACCTGACTAATTTACGTGCGACCACACAGAATTATTTATTTCTTCTGTTTCAAACAAACACCCAGCACGTCGCCGAGCGTGTAGATTCTAGTACAAGGCCAAAGGATGCAGCGCTGCGCACGCGTGAAAGGGCGTAGGAAGAAAGTACTAAATAATTAGTAGCACTAGTACAATCGGTCATGTACATGTACATGCACTCGCTACATGCACTCACGCGATCGCGGCAGACAAGTACAACTAGTTTTACATTTAGTGCATACAGTTTGCAAGTAGATTCCACCAGCACTGCCACTACGAGTCGTAGTCTTTTCATAACCAGGAGTTCGTAAAAAAACTAAGGTCGAATTCTTTAGGGGGGCGCACGTGCCCCCGTGCCCATCACGGGTGACGCCCCTGCGCAAGCAAGCAAGCAAGCACACACACACACGCACACACACAAACACACACACACACACACACACACACACACACACACCTCAGACCTGCCCATCGCGGAAGCGATGATAGCGAACAGCTATGTTAGACATAGCAACTTGTGCTGGGATTACACCATTCAACAGCTTGCAAGGCTGATGAATTGACCGCCACTATTTTTAGCCTGGTATCCACCACACAGCTGATTGAAGTGACTTTTCTGGCCAGTGAATCCCTATTTTTCATTTTTCCATTTTTTCTTTTTTCTTTTTTCTTTTTTTTTTCTACACACACACCACACCACATACTCCGGCATACACTGGCTGTTGGTAACCACCCAGGAGAATGAAAGAAAAGCCAGGAAGAGACCGAGAAAGAGAAGAAAGACGTGTGCGACCATAATCGTCGGGAATTGAACCCGCAACCTCTCGATTAGAAATCGACTGCACATACCACTGCACCATATGGGACACACACACACACACACACACACACACACACACACACACACACACACACACACACACACACTATCTCTCTCCCATCCCTCAGTTATCTTCCTTTCCCAGCATTCTCATGTACACCATACGCCATACCCGGCAAACCTCCCTTTCCTCTTCATCGGCTGAACCACACTAACCTTGCTTGCAGCTGAGCCTGATCTTTGGCTTGGACTGTTAGCTTGTAAGATTTCTGACGTTCATAATCTAGCATGTAGGCATTGCTGATTTCACCGGTCACGTTGTCCAGGACGAAAGCGTTGCGGTCGTTCCCTGCAATGATGCTGTAGCGAATGGTTGCAAAGCTGCCGGTGTCCCTGTCGGTTGCAGAGACCTGGACAATAAACACATGAAGGATGGGAATGTCGTAACCGAGGGAACAAACTGTGCTATAACCATTCCTCTACTGGTGATAAACAACAACAATAGGAACAAACACGCAAGAGATAAATGTGAACTGTACATGCGAAAGGAAAACTGTTCACGTGTTCGTTACTATAGTAGGTGTCTAACACCAATAAAAACATGGTAACCGCACAGTTTGTTCTCTCGGTTGCGATATTGAAGTCGTTATCTCTGAAATTTTTGTTTTCAAGGATGGGGATTGTTTGCCTAATGCCACATTAGTACTAAAATATTTCTCAGAATGGCTGCGCAGCATATATCATATGTAATTTTCAAAAAGAATTGTCTCCTCGTCAACTCATCATAATTATGCAGTAAAGCCAAGTCTTCTTTTTCATCACCCAATGCTCAGCACAGGCTTCAAATCCAGCCAGGTATCTACACAATGCTGATCAGTACAAGTATGCTATCCTCTACAAAAGAAATAGAACATCAGCCAGGTTTTACAAAATTAGGACAGGTATGCAATGGCAAAATATTATGGAGAAGCAGATCCCAAACCCAGATTTTTGAGATTTAAAGTGAGTTTTTGATCCTCAATTTGTCCCAAATCAGACTTTCAAAAGCCAGCGGGACTGTTTCCGTTGAATGGACTGCAAGCACATGACCACACAGTGTACAGGCTGGTGGTGCATGGCTAGTACAGCTTGCCAAGCATGTGCCAGTGTACCAGGGCTTGCCGACGTCAATATTATGCTCACAAGGGACCCGGTAGCAGGTCTGAAAACACCGACAAAATCAGCGAAGCGCTTGCCAAGGAAAGAATGTGGGGAACTGCAAATTCACTCTGGGTCTGAAATTAGGTAATTGCTATCGCTCCACGACGGCCAGAACAGAGGAACAATAAGCCTTGTGTGTGCTTCCATTAGTTTTCATTGGTATGTGGTGCTTTATTGGCGAGCCGCTGTTTACCTGCGACAAGAAGTTGATTTTTCAAAAGTTGTAAAACTCAAGTCGCAGTGCGAAGCAACACGTCAAAAACTCACCTGCTTGGTATGGCGCTTCTGGTCATCGCAGAGCCATGAAATTTTGGCTCGGAGTATAACACATCGTAGTCTCACTGTGACATATGTTTTCTAATCAAAATACCAAGAGAGAAAGTGAATATTGAGTCCGTTCCGGTTTGCAACCCGTGTCCTATTTGAAACCGTCGCCTCTACAAGATTCCTCAAAAGAACGTTTTTGGAAGAAAATTATGGGCACCCCCTTGACCATGATCCTGGCTACGCCCCTAACCCGGTCCCCTACTAAAGAAAAAGCCATCAGTCCATGCCTGGCATCCGCTTAGGACAGCGCACAGGGTCCTCACCTTTGTGATGGACGTTCCAGCAGCAGTGTTTTCTTTCTGCGTGCCCGGGTACTCCTGACTGGAGAATTCGGGATCGTTGTCGTTGGCATCGCTGACCACCACGATAACACGGGCATCGCTTGACTGCGGGCTGCTAACACCAAACTCGGTGACCCTCACCTGACATGACACACACACACACACACACACAACACGCACGCACGCACACACCCACACACGCACACACACACACACACACACACGCACACACACACACACACACACACACACACACACACTGATATGCACATGTACACCCCCCCCCCCATACACACACACACAAACACACACACACCTACACACCCGCTCGCTCGCATGCACGCGCACGCACACACAAACACAGACATCCCCCCCCCCCCCCCCCGCACACCCACACGCACACACACATACACACACACACACACACACACACACACACACACATACACAACTCACCCCCCCCCCCCCCACACACACACAAACACATACACAACTCCCCCCCCCCCCCACACACACACACACAAACATGCGAATCCACACAAGCAAGCATACAAATCTCACTAATATCACATCCCACTGCTATCCAGCATCACTCACCACCAGACTATAGAGAGCAGTGGTCTCAAAGTCCAGTGTCCTTGCGACTTGCAGCTCATCACCGACCACTAGGAAGTCGTTGCTTTTAGCCACACTGCTGCCTGACCCTCTGACTAAGGAAAAGTTGAACTGATTGTATGGGTACTGCAGGATGAGAACACAAACACCAACATGGTAAACTTGTTGCAAAGCCATGACAAAGACCTCTTCACTTACAGCCTGCCTTGAGGGAAGCGACCCTCGATCGACCAAGGGGAAAAGTGTTTGCTATTCACGAGCTGCCGTTATTCGCTAGGTTAAAGCATACGGTCAAGTTTTAACATGGTCTGAACATAGCATTGCTATTTGAGCATCTAGATCCGAAATTTTACAGAGCGAGCTGCTGGGGTACAGAAATGTCATGACACTATAGACAACTCAAATGCTCCTAAATGACATAAGCCCCCTTTTTGGATCTAGAGGCTCGTTTGGAAGTTGTTGTTCTATCTCATGTTGTTATTCGCAAAGCTGACTGTATATAATTCTTCTAAGTAGTGTGCTCCATTTGCGAAATGTAGGCAGCAGCAGCAGCAGCTGTGGGCACACAGATCTTGGCAGCATCATCTTCAGAGCACTGCCTGCTACTAGTATAAGGGCTATGCTTCACTTCCAGCGAGGCACGGTATGCCCTTCCTTGAATCGCTTGCATGCAAAAACCAGGGTACATTTTGATGAACTAGGTAATTGCGTTTTAGTCGAGAATGCAGAGAAGAACAAGGGCAATCAAGGATAGTTAGTCGCTACTTTAAAAGGTTTCATGCTCACGCAATCATCAGGCAACACAGGGGCATCGGGCACGCTACGGTCACTACGGTATTGACCGTACCACTATTTGCCACAAGTACCCTGTGAATCAATAAAATGCACTGGTTTGGGCTCTAAATTTCCAAAATTTTCCGCTCTGCCCCCACTCCACCCCCCCCCCCCCACGAGTATATTGTACTTCGGATGGCTTACCGTACCACTATAAAATACTTTCCGATGCCCCTGCAACATGAGGATGGTGCTGGTCATGCTGGTATACATGCCAGGAGAGCTATTGGTAGTGATTTTACTCTCCCGCACCCAGACGCTGTTTTTGGAAACCAGCTTCTTTACTTCCCATGGGAGAATCCGACATCGCAGTGCTTTCCGCGTGTGTGTGTGTGTGTGTGTGTGTGTGTGTGTGTGTGTGTGTGTGTGTGTGTGTGTGTGTGTGTATATGTGTGTGTGTGTGTGAATGTGGGGACTATTATGTTTCAGGGCTAGCAGTGTTATTTTAGTCAAGACATATTGAGCTGGGCACAGCATTACTAGAGGCTGCACGGCCTGTTGTGACACGTACCGCATCTGCGTCGGTGGCAGACAGCTTCAGTACGACATGGCCGATTGGGGCCTGCTCGTTCACCGTCTCGTTGTAGTCGTTCTTTTCAAACTTTGGCTCGTTGTCGTTGGCATCAGTAACCGTGACGATAACCGTGGAATAGACCTTTATGTCCTTGTTGCGACCGGAGATTTGCTCAGCCTGATGTATGCATACGCAGACAGACAGGCAAACCGACACACACACACACACACACACATACACACACAGAAACCCACAGGCAAAACGCACACACACACACACACACACACACACACACACACACACACACACACACATACACACACACACACACACACACACACACACACACAACACATGTACAGTATAGTTCCCATGCACTGATGATAGCGAACTGAACAGATAGCAGTCATGAACCACGGCATCCACACCAGTACATCGCACGCCAAAACATGTCTGCATAATTGTCAGACATACTCCGAAAGCAAACCCCAGCAGTCTTCCCTCTGCGCTGGCACATATCTCTGACTATAGTGTAGCATGGCTACTTTATGACACGTAATTTGTATACACATAAATAGTACACCGTAGGAATGCATGGATAGCAGTGCGCATACTCGCACTGCCTTGTCTTCTTCTTCTCCTTGTGAGACAATGAACGAATGATAACTACTTACGTAACAACAAGTATGTGCTTTGAGTGCTGAGAATATACAAGTTACAATAGCATAATTATGCAATGGGTGGCAAACCATTTCAGTGTGATTTCAAGATTTTCGATGAAGGAAACACTGACGCTGCGAACTTATCTCTTATGGCCACTGGCTATTGTGAGAATAAGGATTTCAACTTACGAAGACGCGGAACTGCTGTGTACGCTGAGTTACATCCTCGTAGTCCAGCGCAGCCTTGAGTGTGACCTGACCAGACACGGGTCCAACATCGAAATACTTCTGTACGGCCGGTGGAGTGCCTGTGAAGAAGATGCACGCAGAGATGAATGCAAGACATGTGCTTGCCAGGAATGTATTTAAGTACATTAAAACCTGTGACTAACGATCCACCACTTGGGCCCAGAGAAAGCAGTCTTCAGTGGCAGGTGGTCCTTAGTTAGAGGCTTGCACCACACAACACATATGAATGTGAGACCGCCCGTGCCTGGCGAAATTTTCTCTCAGAAGAACTGAATGTCTATCCTGGCAACCAGGGATAAAGACGGGTAGGGCAAGAAAGACACAGAAGACAATAATGTACCCAGTTAGACGGCCGGACAAACAGGTACACAAACACCCACACACACGCAATCACACACACACACACACCCATACACACATGCACGCACACGCACACAGACACACACCTCACCTCACCTCAGACCTGCCAAGCGATGATAGCTAACAGCTATGTTAGACATAGCAACTTGTGCTGGGATTACACCATTCAACAGCTTGCAAGGCTGATGAATTGACCGCCACTAATTTTAGCCTGGTATCCACCACACAGCTGATTGAAGTGGCTTTTTCTGCCCAGTGAATCCCTATTTTTCATTTTTTCATTTTTCCATTTTTCACACACACACACACACACACAAACACACACATAATCTATAGCAGATATATACGCACATGCGAACGCGTGTACACACACAGAGTTGGGAGCGGCGATAGAAGCAGAAGAAACACTCAAACACCAGGACAGAATGCGCTAACTACGCCTGGATTCATACGTACTTGCAGTGTCCAATCCAAACCGGAGTGGATTCTTGGCCACCAAGTCTTGATCATTTGCAGTCAACGTCAGGACAAGATCATTCTGCACATGGCAAACATTCACACATAAAAACAGACTCAATGGCTCCTGTGTAGGCAACTTTCACCATATTCGCGATGTGCAATAAGAACGATTGTGCGTGGGTGTATTAGGTCCGTGACATCACTGAAGGAGGTCTTGATAAGGAAATTCACGAGCAATAAACGATGGCATACTTGAACTTCAGATGTACAGCCAACTTCACTAAAAACACGACTGCAGATATAACGACAATTCGCGAATAACGACAGAATTTCCATGCCCAGAGCAAAGTTCCATCCAACTGTAAAACATACTTCCTCCGTTAACAAAAACTTCGTGATGGATTTTGACCGATGTGAAAACGCTTAGAACAGATCAAGAACAGTTTGTATCGACTGCAAATCACTGGACGAAGGTGATTCAGCCTATGTACAGCGTCTTCACAAGAGAAACTGTTGGCGGAATGAGCAGAGAGTTCAGTTTGCGTCGCTTTCGCTCGATTCATTTTTGACCTGCGTCGCTGTCGTCATCTGCTGCACGCGAGTCGTCATCTGCTGTACGCGAGTCGTCATCTCTCTCGAGTCGTTGTTCAGGTCGTTTCAGCCTTGCCTCGGCTTCTTTGATCACACTCCCCTGACCTTGATGTCGCCGTCGTTCAAGTAAGTTGGCTTTCAAGGTGCGTGATCCGCCGCGATGGCGATTACTCGTTTCCACCAGGGAGTCGTGAAAAATATTTTACGACTCCTTGGTTTCATCTTCGCTCTCCAGAACTCCGCGAAACGAGGAGTAAAGGCACAGCCAAACTGATTCCATTTTCTCTAATGGATAACAGCACTGAACGGCAGCGGCTAGCAAGTCCAATCGACTTTCTTTAGCCACGAGACTCGTATCGGACTGCAGACTTCTGAAGGAATGCATGGTCATCAGCATTCGAATCTGGGCTTTGCGCAGGTTGAACAAGAACTTGAGTTCAGAATTATTTTCATTGAGCCGTGCGATCGGAGCAGCTCCTTGTTCACTCGCTCATCGTGTGGGCTCGCTGCTCCGTTTTATCGCTCTCTATCACTCTCCAACTTACTCAGTGCTAAAGTGGTAGAGAGGCCAAGCAGCGCGATATACCCTCGGAGAAGTGGTATTTCAGTTTCGCTCGCCATGACTGTCATCACCTATGTTTCCACAGCGCAACCATCGACTCGGCTCGGCTTGTTGTGAAAGGTCGCTTTCCTTTCATCGTATCTCTGTCATGGCATGCCAGGGAAGGCCAAGAAAGTGATTGCGACTCATTTCACGGCAGTTTGTGCCCAAATCAGCCCCTCAAAATTCCATCACGAAGTTTTTGTTAACGGAGGAAGTAATAATGAGACTTCGCGAATAAGGACACTTCTCTGATGCCCCGCCGAGTGTCGTTGTACGCAAAGTTGACTATACAGTCGACCTACCCTTATAACGATATTTGCGTCACACCAAGAAATATTGTTATAAGGGTAATATTGTTATAGGGGTAACTGGTTCATTTCTTATACATATGTCATAATGCATGGATTTTTTTCATTTTTTACACTCTTCATAGCATAAAAAGTGACATACATGCACATTATGTGCACAGCAAGGTGCCCACTGGTGCCCCATTGCATTTCGTCATGTCCCAACGACTTATCAAGTGAAGCTTGCCCTACCTGGATAGTAGGCTCTACATATTCGCTGCTAGATATTGTTATAAAATGGAAAATGTCGATTGGTCAGCCCATTTTATATCGTTATAGGGGTAATATCGTTATAGCAATATTGTTATAGAGGTAAGGCATTGTATACACAAGTCAATGGAGTGATTTGGTTTGGCAGAAAAATATCGTTATAAGGGTAATATCGTTATAGAGGTTATCGTTATAAGGGTAGGTCGACTGTATCTGCATTAAACTCAAATTTGAAATGATGGACGGTCTTCAAATTGTCATGACCGTGTTGGTCCGGCTTTGGTGGTGGTGGGGGGGGGGGGGGGGGGGAGGGCCGGGGGGGGGGGGGGGGGAGTTGGTTGCAAAAACTCGTCACATGTCTGCGAACAAGAAACATGTCATATCGATGGCCCCTTACCACATTGAGGCTCTCAGAGATGGACTCGGTGTAGGTAGGCTGTGAGAACGCAGGTAGTAGCGTGTCCTCATCGTAGATAAACACAGTCAGTGTGGTGTTGGAACTGAACTGCGGTGAACCATCACCTGGGGTATCCTGCATTGTACACAGGAGCAGACCACAATGCACACACTAAATACATGACTGTGTGCAAACAGCATAAGCATACACATGAGGTATCTACTGCCGTGGACCTGGAAATCCAGTCGATTTACCGGGGCCAGCGCGTACAAAACACGGAACAGTGCTTGATCCGATGTGGCCAGGCCAGAGCGCTGCAGCGCCCAATGCCAGGTGCGTGCCCCGTATGGGTTCCTGGGTGCCGGGACCCCCCCCCCCTTTTCGCTCAAAATGCAGGATTTTGCTTCATTTTTTGAAATTTTCCCGGGGAGGCCACCTGGAACCCCCCCCCCCCTTGAAGGGCAACGGCGCACGAGCCTGAAGGCCATGCATGTCTGTACGGCTTACCCACGGCTAAATGGCCAGCGCGTTGGGGCAGCTAGATGTGCGACCGGATTTCCATGTCTACGACAGTAATATTGACTGAGTACGAGGTCATTATAGGACATATTGAAGCCGAGTAAAAGATCGAGGTGAAGCCGAGGTCTCTCACGACGTCTTTATTTCCTTGTTTGACCTAGTGCGAAGGCAATGATAGATTTATCACGACTAGTCAATGCCTGTGGATCTATGGGAGTTAATACTAAGGGAGTGATAATTGATATGGTCGCCTAAGTCGCTACCACTGCGCCTGTGGCGTGCGCATCATCATAGCAAACAAGAATAATTTCCTCTCCATTCCGATAATGAATACTTAGTATTCTTTCTGGCATGAGCGTATGGTCCCAGCGTCGAAGGACATATTGAAGTCGAGTAAAAGATCGAGGTGAAGCCGAGGTCTTTCACGACGTCTTTATTTCCTTGTTTGACCTAGTGCGAAGGCAATGATAGATTTATCACGACTAGTCAAAGCCTGTGGATCTATGGGAGTTAATACTAAGGGAGTGATAATTGATATGGTCGCCTAAGTCGCTACCACTGCGCCTGTGGCGTGCGCATCATCATAGCAAACAAGAATAATTTCCTCTCCATTCCGATAATGAATACTTAGTATTCTTTCTGGCATGAGCGTATGGTCCCAGCGTCGTTCCGGAGAACTCCTGTACTTTGCAGAAACATGGTGACGGAAATCACCTCACACTGAAGTGAAGTACCAGAACAGGCAGCATGGTTGAAAATAACAAACTCCTTGCCTGGCGGTCTTGATGCAGTCTGTGCGCTGCGGAATATCTTAGTTCGTCGATATCCTCCGCTGTCCGAGTTTTCAGCGACTTCGTCTACCCGTTCTTTCTTTTCTTACCATGCTGCCGTTAGCAGCGAACTGTAAAACGGACTCTCGCTACTCGATATGTGCTACAATGTTGGCTTCGACTTATTCCCAAGAAAACGAAGGGAAATGTTGATCACCCAACCTTGGCTCGACTGTGAGTGTGGGGAGGGACCACAGAATAAACGCGCTTCCACTACACTGTAATCAAGCCACATGAAGAATCTACTCGTAGGTTGAGAGTAAAGTTACGAGTACAGTCATGTATGTCAAGCTTCGAAGTAAAAACTAGTACAGTGTTGAGAGATCGCCTGCCTTGCGTCGTCATGGTCATGCAGATTTGTACTGTAGCCTACAAATGTAGTGTAGGAAGGACTTACATGTAGCCTTGTAGGTGGATGTAGATCTACATAGTAGACCTCTACATGTGGAATGACTGCATGTTGACCTAGACCTGCCCCAAATCCTGTTTGGTGGTACCCCTGTACCGGAGGAAACCAGCATATCACTGCTTGGTGTTCGATTTGACTCCAAATTGTCCCTCGCTAGGCACCTCAGGACCGTGACCATCCGCGCCCAGCCGCGCCTCGGCTTTCTCCGACGAGCGGCCCACATTCTAACGCCAGCTGGCCAAACGACTGTCTACAAGGCATTCGTGAGGCCCCTGATGGAGTATGCCCCGCTTGTGTGGATGGGCGCGCCAGCCAGCCACATCCAACGTCTGGATAATGTTCAACGCCGCGCACTGCGCATCATTGGCCCTGGTGCAATTCTCCCCAGTCTGGCTGTCCGCCGGACTGTTGCTGCTCTCTCGTGCATGTACAAATTGCATTTCATTACTGGTCCTCCTCAGCTACTTGCTGTATTGCCACCGCATCGCGTTTCTCCAGCCAACCCCAGAACCAGGAACCAGCACAATAATGCCACCAGCCACGCCTATCAACTGTCAGACACACTCCCTGTCTCAGCTCCATCCGTCGTGAAGCGGTCGTTCCCGTACTGCTGTATTGGCGCATGGAACTCCCTTCCTGACAGGCTGCTGTCGCAGCGCCCACACAAAACACGTTTTCAGTCATTCAAGACAAAGGTCTACCGACACCTGAGAGACAGCAACTGGTACTGGGCAACAGATTCCCTGTAATTTTTCGAGCTCGTCGCTTGCCGGACCCGCTAATCCGCGTACCTGGCCTTGCTCAGAGTGCTCAGCTGTGTTTTGCATACATGGAAAAACTTGTTATGATTCTTTTCTTTTCTCTGCTTATTCTTTTACCAGGCGTGGGCCATCCCCTGGATTATCAAAATGGGTGCCTTATTATTTTTCTGTTTTTTAGCTTGTTTTCTTTACACTTCTTTGTGGGAGTTTCGTTTCAGATCTATTAAAAAAGTTCATAAGTTTTGGTTGATGAAGTTGACATGTACATTGTATATCAGTCCAAACACTGATAATAAACAATCTCTTTTCATCTTGTTTTTATTTTTCTAAACACCTACCGGTACTTTTACCTTCTATTCTACTTCCCCATAGCTAGATCTAGCTTTCCTTTACATTTCTGTTTCTTTTTCCTGGTGCGTGCTTGTGGCATTGAAGCCGAGACCTTTGGTCGGTGGAGCCCCTGGTACCTCACCATCACTGCTGCCCAGTGCAGCCCCTGCTCAGTAGCTGTTTGTTTTTGTCCACATAATTATTTATTTTACGAGTTGGGTTTGTGAATAATAGTAAAAAATAAAAAAATAAAAATAAAATGTTACAAGGCGAGGACGCACAGTCACAGCGGCTTACAACTATAACCCGGTTGGCAGAGTCCATGTAGAATGACTGTAGACTAAGTAGTGACGCCATCATGGCAACGACTAAAGACGAGTAGAGTTCACCTGGTTCAAAGGTCACCGTAACGTGTTTTGGAGCTCCTACACTAGGCTACAATAGTAGTGTAGCCTACAACATTTTATGTAGTGTAGGAGCTCCAAGACAAGTTACGGTGACCTTTGAACCAGGTGAACTCTACTCGTCTTTAGTCGTTGCCATGATGGCTTCATCAGCTACTATACTAGTACACTACACGGTAGTTCTACAGACTTATACATATAAAAAGTTATAGCAAGAGTAGATAAACAAGAGTGTGCAACTCGCGGATGGGTTGGCCCACGGCGGAATTTTTTGTTGACGTAATCTTTTCGACGACGCACGCGCTGCGAGCCTTTTGGAGAGGTTTCCCTCGTGCACTATAGCGGGGCTTTACACTACAAGGTCGGTACCCAGCACGTGCTCTCACACTGCTCTGCGGCAAAGTCCGCGTTTCCCTGAAAAAAGGTGACGTCAACAAAAAATTCCGCCGTGGGCGGGGGTATCTGCAGATTGTGCAGAAGAGATCCGGAGTTGCACACTCTTGTTTATCTACTCTTGGTTATAGTCATATCAAGTAACTGTAGTATTGTAGTAACACTAACAGTAACAGTAGATCTACATCACTATCATCAGGGAGTCGTAGACCTACCCAAACTAGTTTGTGCACGACTCCCTGATCTACTCGTACATGCATGGCTTTGACTGATTAGTGACACAGTGGTGGTGGTGGTGGCAACAGATGGTTGCCGGGTACAGCGCCCGGCTACCTGAAGCCTTGCGCGCATATGCCATAGCAGGAGGAAAAGTCACGGCGCTCCACCCGAGAGCTACAGACTTCTCCGTTTTTCAAAGATAAAAAGCAAAAGCTACAACTACTACCGTCCTGGCCAGAGAATTCTGTCCTTGTGAATAATTAATATTAGTGCCGTGGCTATGCAGCCCTAGCACAACACACAACTCTCTGGGCATTTGAGCGCGCCACTAATGGAGTCCGGATTTCTTTGGCCATGACAGCAGTAAAGGCTGACGCTGCATTTTCATCCACCGTTCTACATACTGCTCACAGTAAAGGTTAGTGGCTTCACCACTTGAAGGCTGGTGATGTTCTCATTTCAATGCCATGGAGAGAACTCAGAAGGTTTCAAGACTACACGTACAATGTACCTTGGCAATGACGGTGAGTCTGTACGACGTCTGAATGCTGTAGTTGAACACCGCGCCTGGCGCTGTGGTGATCATCCCTGAGTTCGATCCCATCTTGAACTTGCTAGACTGCATACACACGTGAATCAAGCAAGTGTGCGTGGTCAAGATATAAGAACATGGAACACGAAAGATCACACTTTAAACCTAGCTTCCTCACGCACTGGGCAAGGTTGACTGCTGATATATAACGAAAACGAAATGTGCAGGAGAACTACATTGCAGTTCTGTAGAACAGAAAAGCACTCACGCCATACGAGAAGCACATTTTTACTGACATACACTTGGCTTACAAGCTCGCCTACAAGATAATGCTGGTTATAAGCGAATGAAGTTCGCCATAAAGGCCGGTAAATTCTGTATACTAGTAGGCTCAAACAGGGACATGGACACTGGTTCGAACACGCAACACAGCAACGGGACGGGCAGTAAAATGGGTGGGGTGCTCACCCCTGGTGTAGCGAATAGGGAATACTGTACTTGGTCACCATGGTCAAGGTCAGTCGCTGCTACAGTGATCACGTGTGTATCTACTGGACTCAGCTGAGAGAACACAAGAAACACAGATACAGTTATCATGGTTATGCAGACATGTATGATTATGCTTGATGAAAGAAGTCATCATGCATACATAATATGTACATGTATAATGGTGGTAGAGCATCGCTGGTTGACATGGCTGTGAGCAAGGGTCCCTGGTTCGAGTCCTGCTGGTGGCGGTCACTTGTTTCTTCAGACTTTTCTACGTTTCCACCTTTCCCTCAAACTAATGAACACAATTATTATAGGGATCGGTGCATAGAAAGCCTTGATCCAGCCTTGCAGGATTATCCTTAGTGGCTCGGCTAGTTCTCCCTCTCCATCCGAATATTATCAGCCCCCATATCTATACGTGTTACTGTGTGGTGATGCATGACAAAGGCGACTGCTCAAGGGGACTTTCAAACGTGGTCCCCGTTACAAGGTTAGCGGTCTTCTTATCCAGACTAATTAGACATCTTATTTCCAGTCAAATTGAAATTTCACTAGAAATACAATGTAACAATCCTTGATCCTACATGTACTTGTGTTCCCTCCAGTTACCTCAGAGATATTAGGGCTTTGGTACGGGATGCCGATGAACGTGGGACCAACTTCGTTCACGTTGTCGACGTAGACAAAGATCTGGGCCGTGTCCTGCAGACCGGGAGACAGAGACAATCAGCTGTCATGACAATCAACGGGAAATGTGAATAGATTGCTCTTACTTAGTACGGGTATTTGGTCCGCAGCACGCGTGTATTTATCCACACTGACGTATATGATAAGTATAAGAGTAAAAAGGAATTGTGCGTTGCTCCCTATATTATTTAAAGAGTAAGAAGTATAAGAAAACTTGTCTCAACCGGACAGCCTTGGTGAAACTGTCCTGATATGACAGGATTCCGCTTGATCCAGGTATGCACGTCGGTCCGTCGGTCCATGAACATGTGTCCAGTCAATCCCGGAATTCTCCCAACTCTCCTCGGGATGCTGGCTGAGGTCGGTGACGGGACGGTAAGACTATAACTATTGTACCTCTTCGGGATTTGGTCTAGGTGATGAACTCTAATGCAGAACTTGTGGTCCACCTTTTTTCTCTTACTCATCTACATAATCTCATCTTCCCTTATACGTTGAATTTGACGTTCAACTCTGATAATATAATCCAAGTTCAGTTCAGCACACAAGCAATTGAACACGACTGGGAAGATGCGATATTCCACCGCTCTTCCCGACCGCCGGTCACTGACAGGATTGACCATGTACGCTGCTCGTCCCGCGCTCTCACCTTGAACGATGTATCCGTGCTGTCATGAACAGTCGCCTGAAATGGGTACGAGGTTTTGATCTGGAGAGAAAAGCGAGAACCGTTCAAGCACACACAGCAATGGCAAAAGGCGTAACCCTAGTATGGACTTGAGAACATGCCCTCCGCTCCGAGTTACCCAGTACACTCTATTTTTTTTTACGAGAAGCCACGAACCTCGAGAACAGAATACTGCATGATAGAGGTGGTTATGGCTATCCATAGCAGAAAAGCTACCGGCAATTGCAAGAACATCTGGGGGAAGAACAATGGCTGTAGAATGTTGCCATTGGCGTTGAAATGGAAAAAGCAAATGGGGGGGGGGGGTGAACGGGAAACAGATTGACAGTGCACGTAGGTTTGAAGATCGTGGAGGTTGGGGAAAGTTTTGGAACCGAACAGGGAGAAGGGGGGGGGGGAGTGGAAGGAGTCAGCTAGGGGCGGTGTTGATCGATGACTGAACAAGACGAGGGGAAGCAGGACAAGCGGTACAAGCTGAAGAGAATGAAAAGCCAAGTGCAGCCAGTACACTAGGCCAGAGGGACCAAGAGTTAGATGAACAAGGCAATCGCTGTGTATGATGGGTGATGAACTTATCACTCACCTCAGCATCAAACAACTTCTTTGTTGTGATCAAACCAGTTGCTGTATTAATATCGAAACCGTCGAATGCAGCAGGACTGAGCCCATATGTGAGGACATCACCAGGGTCATCATCTGTTGCGTGTACGGTTGCCACAGAGGTCCCTGCACAGGTGAAAAAGAAGACTTACACGTCACCGGTTTACGAATTGAGAGATGCGTGTAGCAATGTCGACGGTGTTGATAAGCCGAGGCGAATTCAACTGTCACCCAATTACTCAAACCTCGGCGTGCCAAATTCACGCTACGCCAGCACACAACGCTAGAAGTAGAAGATTGATTTCACGCACAGTCACCCCCCCCCCCCCCACCTCATGACGTTTTAGACAGTTTGCGGCATTCTGAAGCATTCAGTTTCATGCGAGCAATATACCCTTCCGTAACCAGTAGCATACACATGCAGACTTTGCTTCATAGAAACAGTAATAGCTGCAGTATAATGTTACCAGGTACACGGAGGTTGATATGAAACCATAAAGCAGAACCAAAGCCAAAAGACAACCCAAATTCAGTAAATAGAACAAGAGCAATGGTACATGTTTCGTTCCTTGGTGCTGCCCACTTTTGCCCTTCCCGAATCCCTTCGCACTAATCATATCCCCAATTCTTTTCGCCAGGAACTTAATTAACACATTGATTCATCTTGGGCACCCTGTAAGAAGACCTTAGGGTCTGTTGGGAATGCCAAAGTAAAATAAAATAAAAAAAAAACAATACAAAAAATGTAGTGTGAAAGCACACCGGATGCACACCATGTACAAGTGTAGGTTGGTCGAGAACGCCCATACCGTAACGCTTACCTATGGGTGTACCTGCACCTTCGTCGATGACTTTCGAGTAGAACTTCTGGGTGAACACCGGCCGTGCGCATTCTACAGGGACGTTTCCAACACACACACACACACACACACACACACACACACACACACACACACACACACACACACACACACACACACACACACACAGTCATACATAATGGTGTCAGATGAAATCCAGGGCCGGGTCTCAGGTACACGTACACGTACATGTATGCAATGCTGCAGTGGTCGGGTTTCACATGGGGCCACTATCCATGACACTCCATTACGGACAGAAATAGACTCGCGCAAACACACATACACACGCACACGCGCAATGTGTATGTGGTTTCCACATGTAAACATCGCATACATAACCACAACGCTAGTGAGCAGCTATCTTTGTACGTACACACTTTAAAATGGTGGCGTCTATAATAACCCCACGCTACCCCACGCTGATGAATGCCGCTCCTTTTAAAACAAGGTGAAAAATTCGTTCCAGCTCTACGTCTCACGTGTTTACGATACAGTAATTTAGCATCCGGGCGTCTTGTGTAATGCTGGCAATTACTACCCGTACATGTACGTGTGCATGTTCTTAGATTCCTGACAGCGATTCCTCGTATTACACCTAGTGTTCTGTTTTGCTGGCTCTGTTCTGTTCTCTTTAAAAGTCGCGAGCATCGCAATGTTCCCTTGGAGAAATTCAGTCACAGCTAGATAATCTGTGTAATCCGTTCTCAGAGATACGGTATAGCGTGCCTGAACGAGCTAGTATCCGTTACCAAGGATCAAGCCGCTCATGAATGTCTGCAAGCATGTTCATGTACAGGTATGTTATATTGAAAGCGTAGAACCGTGCATTGTCAATGGCAATGCTGGAAACATTGAGAGCATCATTCGCATGATTCTGGCTGTCCTGGAAGTTGCGTGCATTGTAGCGTCTGAGTGACCAAGCTGTGATCGGATATGATGGTTAGGTCCGGAGGACGAGTGCGAGCGTTAAATGCAGGTAGAATGAGGGGAATGGATTGTCGTGCAGAATGCCCTGGAAGTGCGCTGAGATGGAGCGTTGTGCTATGCCTGGATTGGTGTGCCCACACTGCAGCCGTCCAGCACTGCACACAGTGCTGGATGTGTCCGTTCATTATTCCACAAAGTGAGTGTATCCCTCGTGAATTGCATTGCATGTGCGAAAAGGCCAATAATACACGGGCAGACCTGCATGTACCCGTGTTCATCTAACGCACTACGCTAGACTCTCCTCAGCCGCCTACGTATACCTATCTCATGAGAAGACTGAGTTATCCTATATTGACTAGGATATTGCTTAGCGAATGGCAGCTTACACGACAAAACCTCAGGGCTTTGCCCTGAGGTTGTAAGTATAACCTTAATGGCGATTGATGCATAGACCTGGTCATGGTGGTATCACCGAGGGCTTTCTAAACTCCTACCTGTGCCTTGTAACGTTAGTAGCGCGAGTAGACCAACAACAGCGAGCAGTCGCTCACTCAGCGCGTGCAATATCGCACGGCCCATTGCGAGCAGCCACCTCGCCTTCGCAGCGGCGAGAAGGCGGGATTTGGCCTTGATCTCTCTCTTGGAAATCTACCTCGCGAGGAGGGAGCGTCCGGACGAGCTCAGACTGGCAAACCCTACGCACACACCTCAGCTGGCTGGCGTAGGCTTCAGAAGGAACGGGGAATGGTGGCGATGAAAATACGACTAATAATTAGTTCGAATGAACCCAGTTATTCTCCAACAGTGTGGTCGAACTGAGGACTGTAAAACTCTCTTCTGAAACTGGAGAAAAGAAAGAACGGGCGTCACTGCACCACTTCATTGATCTAGTGACGGTCTGCGGCGCTGAACCATGGCAGGATCGGTGCACGCAGTACTTTGCCGTACAGAGGCGGTGCTCATATATGCTACTAAAACGCGCTGATGTGCAGAAATTCTGCTCCATGTAACTCACTAAGTGTGGCACGGATGTCTCGCGGCCATGTATAGCGCCCTGCAGGGAAGCTAAAATGGTATGACCCCTAGCGCATAGCCTCGCACGCATGACATAAGCCACAGGCAAACCCGGCCTGGAAGAGTAGGTTCTAGTTGTGCCCAGATCACAGTTCGTCCTGCATGCAGGAGATGATGGGGAATGTTGATGGCAGCTAGGCCACTCCTACAGTCTAGTCCTCGCCTGACCACGCAGAAGGCGTGTGTGGATTGGCTCCGTAGAGATGTGTATGCCTGACATGTTGGGCTGCAAAGGCCAGGATACATGCAGCTGCATGACCCTCGGCTCTAGCTCTACTGCCAATACTGGCTCTGCTACCCTGTTCTGTGCCTATGTGATGCTCGTGCAACATGCTTTGAACAGTGATAATGATAGTATCCATTCTGATTCGACTCACGTGCCGTCGCGTTGCCTGCCTGATAGGCTCTTGAGTCTTGTCCGAAGGTGGTGGCTGTCGACATCTCGCGAACTGTCAAGTCACCAGTCCCTACTCGATCCAGTGCCAGATCATTGCTACCGTAATTGGCGTAAACAGCTCGTCTGCGCTCGGTGCCAGGCTGTTGTGTTGTCATGCCTGGGCTTGCAACTACGGTAGTTCGTTCACGACTGTGGGAGCCAAGTCGACAGACTCGCGATAAGGTACCGAAATCAAGGTACCTAAAATGTCGTGCCTGTCAAATGGTGGTGAAATCTTGCTTGCTTATAACATAATAGTCAGCTAGTAATATTCCAGTATCTGTACAGTGTACCAGCATAGACCTGATATCTAGTATTACGTGTCCGTGTACAATCCGATATACATGACTTGTATGTTTCTGTCTGCCACACTACAGCACACGGTTAGCAGCTAGATGAGAGAGGCTCAGTGTGTGGTGTACGGCGTGTGTCGGCCGCCAGTTCCAGAGTAACAGCTAGGCAGCAGACTTGCCGGTACAGTCAACCCTCTTGGTATCCAGCACTTTATAAACCAGCAGAATGTTCGGGAGAATGAAGTTGAAGACACCACTGCAGCTGTACTTATGGTGGATAAATATGGTGGTAAAGCCACACCTGGCAATATGGCGGTAAACACACGCCAGAACTTTGCAGCTTAGAGAGCGTGTGTGGGCAGGCGTGTGTTTACCGCCATATTGCCAGGTGTGTCTTTACCACCATATTTATCAAGCAGAATGTTCAGTCACCAAAATGCCTTCTTCATGATTCACACTGAAGTAGTACACCAGATGTGTCGATCCAGCACCTTCCCTAACCTCGCAGAATTTCTGAAGCACAAAAGGTATCGGGTTATAAAGGGACCCTGAATAAACCAATATCATTTTCAGGAACCAAAATGTCCTCTGCATGCACACTGCAGTAGTAAACCAGATGAGTCAGTCCACAACCGTTCCTAATCTCACAGAATTTCCGTAGCACAAATGGGGCCGGATTATACAGCGACCACTGCACACGTACAATGTACATAGATACAGAAACAGCTGCACGTGGCGAGTTCAAGTCATAATATTATTCTTTCGCGGTCTACATGATTGTACATGATTTACATGTACATGTATAGATAGCCGCTCCTTCATCCCGGTCCAATTTTATCAAGGGGTCAGCGTTTACTTCAGTATCACAAGAGATGCTATGGCCAGAACCGTGTGGATCATCAAGCATTGCTAAATGCATTTGAAGGAATTGCTGATAGGCCAGCAGTCGACTGGCTCCGAAGCTTCTTATCTGAGCGGAAGCTGTCTGTAAGGTAGGAAGGATAATATTCCGAGGCCAAGGTCCTCACCTGTGGAGTCCCGCAGGGATCGCATCTTGCTCCAACCGTCTTCTTATTATTAATTTCGTTAATTCCCTGCCCTCATCAATCACCTACTGCACCCCATACCTATTTGCTGACGATGTCACCCTCCTGTTTGTACATGATAACAAGAATTCCCTGCAGTGGAACCAATCTCGTCTAGAGAGCGACCTTTCTGCCTGCCAACTATGGGCCAGCAACGTCGGTGGAGAGTTCTCATCAGCCAAAACGACTCAGATCCGTAACTACAGTAACGACCACCTATCCAGCTCTCTTCCCAACCTATCACCATCGTTGAAGCTGCGAAGCATCTTGGAGTGTATTTAACACCTGACCAGTCCAACACCGTCCACCTTCAGACCATCCTGAAAACCTTCCAACGTCGTGTTAATCTGCTATGCTTCATGGGACGGCATCTTGCCCCACAGCCTTTCTACTTCTATATAAAGGTTTTGTCAGACCCGCCCTGGAACACGCCACCTCGGCCTGGTCCTATGCCATCACCAAAGCTGAGCTGGAGCGTTTTAATATTTTACAAGCCAGAGTAGCTAGGAAGTATTTGCTACGTAAAAAGTCAATGTAGATAGATGCGAAACGAAATCCCAGTTAAATGCCCTTTGTGAATTAGAGTCCTTGCACTTTCGGAGACAAGTATCAGCTCTTGTTACTCTATTTAAACTTATCCATAATATCTCCAGAACACCTCCAACATTCTCACCTTTCACTGTCTTCAAGTTCAAGAAGACCAAACAAACTTAACATCAATTATCACGCGGTGTGCGTTTTTCTTCCCTCTTTTCCAACAAAGCTGCAATGCTATGGAATTGCCTACCGCCTTCTCTTACCTCTATAACCAGCCTCCCCGAATTCAAGCATTCTCTCTATCAGCATTTTCGCCGATATATTCATTACACTGACGGTATACCAACTCCTTAATTACCAGATTTTGTATGCCTCGATCTATTTCCTTAGCCTATCCTCGATTAACTGCTCCCTCTACATAAAGTTGTCATTTCATTCTTCTTGCAGGAGATCCCCTCGACAGGCCCAAAGCCTTTGGGAAATCCTTAAATATAATCAAATACAAAATACAAAAAAACCTAGAGACCGGCGGATTCTGCTCGAAAAGGTGGCAGATTCTGCTCGAAAAGCAGTGAAATTGGCAGAACCATACAAACCTTATGGCGGGCAATTCCTCGAATTCTGCTCCATTTCTGTATCCACATATCAAACATGTATGAAACTTACCAGAAAAAGTACCGAATTCTGCCAATTTTTCTGCCGGCAGAATCCGCTGGACCCTAGCATGCTAGCATGGCTCTACATGATTCGAAAAAAAAACTCCTCGTAAATCATCGTTACGTATTTTGTGAAACAGTCAGTTGCATGCAACGTTTGGCATGCTACATTGTACCAAGAGTACATAACCCCCCAGAGTGTGCAACGCCTGATCCAGCTCTGCATAGGGTCTTGGTCGAGCGGAATCGGGGGGGTTATGTACTCTTGATTGTACATGTACATCACAAGTACATTTACCTGACTACATTGCTACATAAAGACTTTATGTAGCAATGCCAATGGCATTATGACTGTGGTCGGGTAAATGTAGCATTAGATTAAAAGGTGTTACGTGTCTACACAATCACAAAGTCACAACCACAATCACAATCACAAAGTCACAATCACAATCACAAAGTCATGTTCCGGTACAATACATACAGTACATGTACGGCGTTGCACCTCATGGCTTTAGCCGATTGTTGCCAAAACCTGAGATTTTCCGGCAATGCCACTATGAAACTCGTTATGCCGCTCAAAGCCTCAAACATCACATACTGCTCGTCTTGTTCCTATGAATATTAGTATAATGCTCTGATGCTCGGATAGTCTTATAATGCAGAATATAATGCCGGCATTATCCGCTCAGGCCAGGACCTTACCGTCCCACAACGACCACTGAGCTGAGTGGCACTGCCTGTCTACAAAGGATGAGCAAGGCATTCGTTTCGTGCTCGGCAGAGCTGATCGCTTTGACTTTGAGTTTGACAAACTACTTTGAGTACAATCAAGAGTCCATGTTATGGACTCTTGGTACAATCCGTATGCACGTGGCAGCGCATGGTGCAGTCGCGGCGCTGCCGCGTGCCGAGGCCTAAAAATGATTGCGTCACCAACCTCGAGAAATTTTTGAGTTTCGATTCAAACTGCTTTTCTTTCCAGTCTGCAGTCTTTGCTAGCTTCTGACCAGCCATTTCGTTTGTTTGGCTGAGACCACCCAGCTACTGTCTCACCATGGATCAAGTCAGTATGAGTCAAGAAGAGGTTGATTATCTATCCAATATTAAGAAACCATCCGCCGACACTGAAGCTGTCGAGGAGGCCCAGCGACAGGAAATCACTGAAGTTCTGGGAGATAAATTCCCAGTTGATTCCGGCAATTCGGCCGCTCCTGCTGCTATCGCTGATGCCGAAGAACCCGCTGCTCAAGAACCACCCGTGGAGAAAAATGAGGATGAGGATGCAGACGATGAGGGAGACTGGCTGGATGTGCTGGGAAGTGGAGCCTTGAAGAAAAAGGTGAGTTGAATTTGGAAATTCAAATTCAAATTTCAATTTAAAATAGAAGAAGAAAACACATGGAAATGAGTTATGAAGCAACTATCCACGAATGTAAGATAATAGAGAGGTTCCGCATAACGTAATTACGTTAGTAAAAAACGTAGTCGATCTACGGAAAGTCATACGTAAACTGCATGCGCATCTGTGTCCCGCCATACGGAGTCTTCAAATCACGTAGCTGCCCTTGGCAACTCCGAACGCGGCAGTGTACGACCAGATCGACCTGGCGAGAGAGTCATAAATGTATACCCCAATCCACTTACGGACCAGCTACGTTATCAGAGCCCTATCTACGTACTCTACGTAGACAACTTTCCGTAAGTGGAGTGCAAACTCGCGAATTCACGGGTTTTCCCCGCCCACTAACGTAAAGTTGCTCAACTTTACGTAGTGTGGAACCTCTCTAATAGGGAGGTTTAGTCCCACGTAATCCATGGGTTCTTTACGTGTGTGTACCACGTGATACTCAGTCACCCACGTACAGACGTTTTCTGTTTCACGACATACCGTCTCACCCACGTTCCGCCAGAACGTGGGTGAAAATCAGAATGGAGCCCATTATGCGAGCTGTGAGGGTGCTCAGCTGAAGAAATTTCCGAAGCACGAAATCAAAATATTCGATGAGCTTCTTAGGCCCGGGTAGCTTCGTCTTTGACCAGGTTTGGACCTTTCGCTTCATGCTTTTGTTTGTTCTGTGTGACTAAACACAACATTGCAACAAGGATGCCCTTCATCCACTTTACGTGTATCACCCACGTACGCGTTTCCGCTACGTGGGAACTAAACCTCCCTAACAAGCAGTCAGAAAGTGCGATAACAGGGTGCAAAACTGACAGGCTACCGAGACATTCAGCGACTTAAGACCTAGCTCCAACACATCTCCAGTGCGCAAACCAACAGCCTTCCAACTATTACTTGGAAGGTTCAAGGTTGGGACGTGCTACTCGAAATACTGTGCCCTAAATGCAAAGGAAGTTCACTTTGAACTGGTCAAACAAGGCGGCAGGCGTACCGCTCACGAAATGCACAGAACATACCTTCGCGGTATCCGAGTTTATTGTCTTCTCTTAGATTGATTTCAAGAAGGCAAAGCATCTTCTATCTCGCTCAGTTCCTTGTCCTGTTGACTAAGGTGTGCGATCACTTTCGGAACCCTGAAAAGAGTCGCTTGTCTCGGCCAGACTGGCTAGAGCAATCCTTCACGCAGCAGGTAGTCATGGTGAAGAAAGCAGGTACAATA